TTTTATCCTGGCTGCATCCTGCTGAGATCCATGGGGGGATTTCCCTCTTATAGGAGCAGCAGTACTGATGAGAGACCCTCAGTTTTATGATCCTTATTAGCAGAACGTCCTGTGCATGGGATCTGAAACTGGTCCCTGCCCCAAGGATGTCACAGCACAGATTAGACTTTGCACGTGCAGGTGTAGCAAGAAGGTATGTGCAGATCTATGTAATCTATGCAACGAGAGAGGAGCATTTGCTGTGCATAGGAATCCAGACTGAGTGAGGGGTCTTTGCTGCCTAGGACAGCAGGTGCACGACTGCATGGCTGTGGGCACACAGGCAGAATAGGAGGAACTGTTGGAGCTGGGAATGAGGAGTGCTGGCAGGCTGAGCTTGGGTGCAGGGGCTGCATCTCCTCCTGGTGCCATTGCATGGGGTGTGACAGTGCATTTTGGGCAGGATCCCTCAAGTACAGACTAGAGAAGAATTCCTCCCTTTGCTGTATGCTGCTGTTCACAAAGGCAAGATGCTTTCTTCTCTGCCCCAAAAAATCTATCCATGCCTCACCTACAAGCAAGCTGAAAGCTTCAGCTGGGACCTGTCCTTCCCTCCTTTGAAGTGACACCTGCCCCAGACTAGAGCTTTCCAGCAAAGAAATGCTCTCCCACCCTCTACCTCTGGGGGAGGATGGACCGGCTGACCCACAGCTGTTTGTGTTGTGGAGCTCTCAGCAGGCACCCGGCTCAGTGCAAGAATGCTGCAGCCTGCAGACTTTTTAATTCCTTTGGGATTTGTGTGCCCACCTGCTCTTCAAAGACGGAGGGCGAGGTCTGTGTCAGAGGCATGCAGAGACTCATGAGGGAGGCCAAGCCTTCACTTCTGCTTCTAATTTCACTTTCAAGCCTTTCCTCCTCCCCATCCCAAGGGTTCTGTATTCGGAGGGAGCAGCCGAAGAAGAGGTAGGAAGGGCACACTGCTTCCTAGGAACAGAAGCAAATGCCATTAAGGTCAGACACTGCAATCTGCCTGCCAAGGAGCTGGCAACCAGCATTGCCAACAGCAAGGTGACACCTCCAGGCACTGCCACCAGCTCAGAGCAGGGCAACTGGCAGCTCCTGGAGCGTTCTCATGGAGCTCCAGCTGGTGATGCACCCCAAAAGTCAGTCTCCATCCTGGCTCCCTTTCTTGTCTCCTATCAGAGAGGGGAAGGACAGAAGGGGTCCCTGCTGCAGGGTGAGGCGGAGTGGATGCAGGCAATGAGTTGGGGCTGCAGGCAATAGATGCTCTGGGCCCTCAGAGCTGTCACACTGTGCTTTTTCTTAGCTCCAAATCTCTTTGCTGCTGTGGCTCTCCCAGCTGGGATGGGCTCCACATGCACAGCACAGCCCCCTGGGCACGGCGCTGGGTGCAACTGCAGGAGCCACAGAGGGCAGGGCAGGAGCTGAGAGCATGCGGGCTGATCAAACACATCATGGAAAGAGCTGGCCAAATCTGGGCTTGTTTAACCTGCTGCCAACACAGAGCAGATCCCTGTGCCCACAGCATTTGCTGTATTAACAGCGATGTTAAAAGGAGCAGGAGTCAGACTGCCGAATACCAGCGCTTTACTTTAAGCTCCCTTTGAGCCAAACACTTTGGCTTCACCTTCTGTAGCTGGCAGATGTCTGCAGATCTTATTATTCTGGTTACCAAGCGCAGAGCTAGTTTGGTTAGAAACTCATGTGAAGTGGTACATCAAACATTGGCAGCGGCCCAGGGCTATTTCCAGAGTGCTGCACGGGAGCAGAGCGCAGCACTGCTGCCTGCACTGGGTTGGGTCACTCCAAACAAGAGGAGAGCCATCTGCCTGATGGAAATCACTCACCAAACACCCCAAATGTTGAATATAGAGGGAAAGAAAGTATTGGTTCCATGCCTGGCTGCTGCTCCGCGATGAAATTGAAGGAATTTGGGTACAGGATGGCTGCTCAGAGGGATGATGGAGCTGAGACCATCAGCAGATCCATCCTGGCTCCAGCAGTCAGGCAGGACCAGCTCACGCCTCCCTCCTCCTCTTGTCTCCCCAGCATTTATTGCATGAAGGAACCTGAACTCTGAAAGGAGAATGGATTGAAGCAGCTAAGCCTTTGCTGACCTTTGTAGACTGTCATTCTGCCTTTTCCAAGGCTAAAAGCCCTCTTTGGGGTAGGATATTTTTCATCACTGAACTACATACTCTCCTGGCATCAGCCTCTTCTGTTTCCAAAGGGGAGAGATTAGTAGAAAGTTACAAACCCACATTCAGTGCATGCTGCTGCGTGCTGCTGGCAGCTTAGACTTAGCAATGCAATCACTGGTTCCCAACTTCTGCCTCCTCCCCTTCCCCAAGTTATCTGCACTATTAGGAAAGGCATTTATTACCAATATATTTATGCCAAAAACGTAGGGCTATAGATCTGACCTCACTTCTTCAAGGTGCTTTCTTCCTACAGATAAGCCCTAGGGCAACACAAAGCTAAATGCAAGTTGGGTCAAAGGGAATTTAACTGCAAAAAGGTGCGCCCAGCCAAACAGCCCCACTGAAGGCACTGCCCTGGTGACGAGCTGCTGGTGAGGGCCATCAGCCAGACCTGATACCAGGAGGCTGGAGAATGTGACGGACATGGGAGTGGACCTGCAGGGCTGACTGGTGTTGATAGTGGGGAGAATTATATCAAATCCTTCTGAAATATCTGAGCTGGCTGACGGCAGAAACCTCCACCTCCTTCTCTTCTTCCTGCCTACGTGCTTGGCAAGCCCAGCTGGACATTGGAGGCGTGAAAGGGAGAAGGTGTGAGATGGATGCAGGTGTGTGGTGTGAGGCTGGGGCAGAGCTTAGCATCCAGCATGGCAGCATCCAACAGCACAGCCCCTAGCATTGCAGCACCCAGCACCCCAGCATCCAGTACCACAACTACCCTGTCCTTTCCCATGCCCCATCTCAGCAAGCGAGCATCCAAGGGTTGCAGGGGAGAGGTGACAGCTTCCCCACATGTCCCTCAGAGATGTCAGCCCTTTTGCTGTATTGCCTCAGGGCTCCCATGGCACCTGCAGTCAGAGCTGTGAGTGGGAGCTGGAAGCAGTGGTTTGGAGCAGATGGAGTCAAGACCTTGTCCTGGTGTCGCAACCAAACCCTTGCACCTGTGCTTGCTGTGTGTGGCCAGACCTTGCCTCCTGGGGTAGGGGAGAGCAGCTTTTTACAGCCTGTTCTTGGGCAATGGAGCTGGGAGAGAGATGTTTCTAACAAAGATCCAGCCAGGATTTGGAAGGGGCCAGACCTCTGACCTCCACTAACAGTCAGCAGAAGATCTGTGTGTGCACATGCTTGTGCAAGGAGAAGGGGGGGATGGAAAGGGAGTAGAAAAAGGAGGAAACAGTATTTCCAGAGCACCGATTTTTTTCTCTCTAAATTATAGATAGGCATTCCTTAAATGCCATACTCCCATGCTGGGATGAGTTTGGGCCTTTATGTTGTGCACAACACGGCTGCAGATCACATTGTTCTCTCTCTCACCAAATTCTGATTCCCACTGCCTGGACTGGAGTCCCATTGCTGGGCTGTGCCAGTACAGGAAAGCAGCGTTACGCCAATGGGTCCTATCAACACTCACCAGAAACCTCAATGTGACTTTTCCCAAACAAAGCTATCACCAGCACGGGGACGGGAGATAAGAGCCCAGAAAGTGCACTTGTGAGATGAACGCTGGGAGGAAAAGTCTGTGCTTGGCAAACACAAGGTGGTTTGAGATCAGCAGGGCAGGGAGCAGCCAGGTGTGTCCTGGTGGGACTCAGCTGTGACCTGGCACAACACCCATCACCCACATCCCAGTCTTGGAGTGACGTGGTCCTGCCTTCACTTGTTGCTTGCACAAGGTATCACATCACAGCTACATCCCCAGTGCTTCCCAAGCTCTCCAAGATGCCAGGCTCAGTGGGCTCATCCATGGGGCCAATGTCACATTTCTCAGCATCACCCACTCCAGCCAGTACCAGAGAAATGGATTTCCTGAAGCCTCAGCTTGTACTGGGCACCGAGCCTTAGGAGCTTTGCTCTTGGAGCTCTTCCCCAGCCCCATCCTTTATTTCCATGCCCATATTGGACCAGAGCTCTGGGAAAGCCTGGTCCCTTTGAAGCAACAACATGCTGCTGCTCTGCTTTCCTTCCCACATGCGTTGTATTGCTTCACTGTCCCTGTGGTCTTACCCATAAGCACCAGGACAGCTGGTTCTGCCTTTGTTCAGGGTGCAATCACACGGCTGGTTCTCTTTAATTCCAAAATCTCAAAGGTTTAACCTGCTGTTTGATCTAGGGCAAGGCCAGTGATAAGCCAAGTCAAGAACTTGACTCTGTCCGAGACGCTGACATCATCAGCTTGTTTGTTTAAGATGGAATTTAATCATGGGGATATTTTCCCCTCTGTTCTTGCCTTGTTTATTATTATTCCTGATTGCCAGCACATTTGCTCAGCGGGAGAAATTCATTAAAGAGCTGTGGTATAATCGGCTGATTCAGTCTGTCTGGGCAGTGATGGAGCCGAGAAATAAAGCTGGGAGACCAAAACTGCAGGGTTTGTCACCTTTAGAAGCCTGTTGCATGGTCTGGTCTTGGGGTAGAAAATATTTGTGAGGGAGAACAGGAAATTTAGAACAGAGGAGCAGGGCTGAGACCAGGAGCAAGGCTGTGAAGCTGGGACAGGAGTTCTGCAGCTCGACATGAGAAGAGCAGAGGGGTTTTTGCTGTGGGGACTGGAGAAGAGCCTTGAACATTGCTTGTTCTCAGCCTGCACCAATCCTCCAGAAGGCAGAAATCAGTCTCTCTGGGAAGGGCATCCCTGGTAGGAAAGGATGTAGAGCTGGCAGTGGATGTGTGCCTGCAGAGGGCAGTGGCTGCAGTGCCTGTGGATGCAGGAGGACGGGCTCTGAGGGCCTGATGTAGGGACCTCACCAGGCTCTCAGAATCCAAGGTGGGGACTCTTGAGGGTCCCACGAGCCATGGCAGTGTGAAGCAGAGCCCGGATTCCCAAGCGCAGCACTGCTGGTGCTGGTTTACAGCAAGGTGCCCTCGGTGCCACTGTGATTCCTAAGACAGCAGTGGGGTTGATGACCTCCCTCTCTTAACCCATTAGCATTATGATTCTGCTGACCTAAATTCCCCCAAAGTTTCGGCTGCATGCATCACATGTTCCTTCCTGCTCTGTGCTGCTCACACCCTCCAGCCCAGGGAAGGATCTGCACAGCACTGGCAGCGTCGCTCCTACACAGGAACGTTTGCTCATCCTGGATGTGTGCTGACTTCAGTGGTACCTGGAAGCAGTGAGGAAAGAGAGGGGAAGGGGGAGGATTCAGATCGCTCCACGCAGCCTTGGCAACCTGGATGTTGTTTCTTGATCCACACTCCTGTCTGAATCACCTGCTTTTTCCACCCCCTCTTTTGCTCCTGTGTTGGGCAACGACCCACTTACATCACTGCTGTGCCACAGATCATTACCAATACCCCAATCCATGCCTGACCACTTCCTCTCTCCACCCTCAGACTTCCCAACTTGTAATGTTTCTCCCTTCTTCCCAGTCATGGTAAAATGAGGGCTTTCTGAAGTTCATCAGCTTCTTTGGTAAGACCCAGATACTGCTCAGGACTAGTCCATCAGGATGCTTTGGCATCATCATCACTGAAACAAATTAGGAACAGTTATCTTTCTGTGCATCGCTTCCTAGAATAGATCCAGGACAAGTTCACAGCCTCTCAAGGCAAAGGGGACGTAGGAAGGCTGCTGAATGTGATTGAGTGCAGTGGGCAGTGAAACAGGGACACCTTGGATGGGAACAACATTTCATCACAGCACCAGTATCTGCCATGTCAGAGCTGCCACATGAGGTGCAACCATGCCAACCCTGATGGCAGGTGGGGAAACTGAGGCACGAGATGGCTCAAGTGACCTGCCTAAGGCAAAAAGGGCAGAACCGAGACTAACACCTGTGCTCATCTGGCAGACAACCCAGGGTGGGCTCTGTCCCCTTCACACAGCATCACTTGTTAGCATCACCTCAAAGTAGCTGGGGAAGGCTCATGGGGAGCAGCAATCCCCAGTGCTGGAGAAGCCACTCCCAGCGCCTGCCTCTGCGCATAGGGAAACTATTTAGGGTGGAGATATTCTGGGAGGGCTCCCAGACGCTGGAGGTGTCCGGTCTGTTATACTGCAGGTGGGGACAGCTCCAGTCACATTCTTGGCTTTGCTTGTTCTTTTTTCTGGGAAACATTTAAATGATCCAGAGATGAGCCACGCCAGACCCCGCTATGCCATCGAACGCCCTGCGTATTCGGTCAGCCTATTTGATGAAGAGTTTGAGAAGAAAAGCAGAAGTTATCCCATTGGGGAAAAGTTGAAAAACCTTTTCAGGTAACACAGAATCCTATCTCTACTCCTGGGGCAGAACTACAGTAGAGCTGGTCTGGAATTGGGTTATAATTTGGACCTGGGGACATAGTTCACATTTTAATCCTGGGAAACCTCTGCGGTCTTTGATGGATGAAAAGCATGGGATAAACACGTGGTGCAGAAGCAAGCGGAACAGGATGCTGTTCTCACTGCCTCACTGCTGTTACACTGTAAGGCACAGAAGCAGAACGGTTTGCACCAATTGCTTTTGGGATTTGGGTTGCTGTTTTCCAAATTTTACTAATAATGAAAAAAGCATAAATGGTGATACAGGTATGAGCACGTAGACTATTTCTCTAAGCTTTCCAGCTGGGATTTCCTTCTGTCAGCTCCTGTGCTGGCTTCTATTAAAGAAAGATGAATAATCCTGCTGATTGCTGTCCTGGAAATCTCACTCTGCTTCCTGGAAGAGTGAAGGCAGTGGTACAGGGAAGGAGAGCACACATGCTGGCAGCAGAGGAGTGAGAAGCTGCATGTGTCAGCTCAGAAACAGTGTTCTTTCTGACATACTTTGGGTTTTTTGACCAAACACCTGCAGAAGTTCATCTTTGGCTCTGCACAACTGCCCCGTCAATCTCTGAGCTGCATCACACAGTTTGTACTAGAAATAAAGACTCGAGATACTGGGCAGCCAAACCCTTCAGAGCTGTGAAGCACTGGGGACTTCCCAGGACTTCCCACAATAATTCTCCATGGCACAGCCAGCTGTTAACAGCAAGAGCCTTGCACTTGCATGGAAGGGCTGTGCCCAAAACACTGGGCATAGGATTTAGCATTAAGGAAAGGCTGAGCACTCCTCAGAAGATCCTTTCTTGCTTCCTTGTTTCCTTCCTTGCTCATGTTCCTGATTACTTCCTTCCTCCTTTACTTCTTTGTATATTTTTTCTCCTCCAGATGTTCAGCTTCCAGATTCAAGCTCATTCTCTTCAGCCTGTTCCCAATACTTGTATGGCTTCCCAAGTATAAAATCAAGGAGTACATTTTGCCTGATGTTCTCGGTGGGGTCAGTGCGGGGACAATCCAAGTGCCACAAGGTGAGAAGCAACAGCTTTCCCTATCACTGAGAGGGGATAGCACAGAGGATGCACAGTCTGTGGGGGTTACCTACATTACTGCTGGCACATGCAAACCCAAGCTCCCCCTCCCATTTGGCTGTCCCTATATGTTCCTGTGGAACCCTTCCCCTTCCAGCTCTGCCTGGAAAGCATCACTCATGCTGGCCACAGTTCCGGGGCTGTCAGCATCCTCAGGACCGGGAATAGAGCACAAGCAGGGCAGGGGCTGCTCGGACCAGGCTGACCTGTACCTTCCCCTTGTGTTCCCCAGGGATGGCTTTTGCACTGCTGGCCAACCTGCCTCCCGTCAACGGGCTCTACTCCTCCTTCTTCCCTTTGATAACATACCTCTTCCTTGGCGGTATCCACCAGATGGTCCCAGGTGAGTCTGCAGAGCAGTTCTTTGCACAGGGCAGCTAAGTACCAACTGGGTGGGAATACTCGGTGTGTCCTGGAGTAGCAGTGTTTGGGCAGGCTTGGCTTACGGTGTCCATGATCCCTTGATGGGCTGAGTGACTCGTTCAGGACAGCCTAACCTGTCCGAGTGCTTTCCAGGGCAGGACACTCTCCAGAACAAACTACTGACATCACTGTGTTGTGCCAAAGGTACTTTTGCAGTCATCAGCATTATTGTTGGCAACGTCTGCCATGAGCTGGCTCCAGAATCAGACTTCCAGTACTTCAACCACACTACCAATGAGACCAGCGTGAATACCACAGCCATGGAAGCAGCCAGACTGGAGATCTCTGCCACGCTAGCCTGCCTGACTGCCATCATACAAGTAAGGACTCTTCACTGCCTCTGCTGTGTGCCCCATCCAAAGCTGACCCCCAGGGATTCATCCTCCCTGGAGCAGAGGCGAGGGCTGGGAGCAGATGCTGGAAGTGGCCCTACTGGGGCTGGCCCATTTCTAATAACTCCTTGTCTGTCCTACCCTAGCTGTGCCTGGGATTCGTGCAGTTTGGCTTTGTTGCTATCTACCTGTCAGAGTCTTTCATCAGGGGCTTCATGACAGCAGCAGGGCTGCAGATCCTCATCTCCGTGCTCAAGTACGTCTTCGGCTTGACAGTCCCGTCTTACACCGGGCCCTTAGCTATCGTCTATGTAAGTGGGTGCTTGGACAGGGTCCTTCCCTGTACCTCCTCCCCACCACACTGCAGGCACCATTGTTACTGTGCTGGGGAAACTGGGACTGGGAGAAAGGGAGAGGCTGGAGGGAGGGGGAACGCAGCTGGCTGCACACCTGCACTGCTGCCCCATCACATCTCAGGGTGTTTGCAGGTGATTTCCTTAATTAGTACTGTCCACTGTGCTGTCCGTTGGGTCTGGAGTCCCATGACACCTTCTCCTCTTCTCTCCCCTTTAGACATTCATCGATATTTGCAAAGGTCTGCCCAAAACCAACGTGGCCTCCTTGGTCTATGCCTTGATCAGTGCTGTGCTTCTGATTGTTGTCAAGGAACTCAACCTGAAGTACATGAAAAAGATCCGGATGCCCATTCCCATGGAGATCATCATTGTAAGTGACACATGGGCTGTCCCTCAGATCTCCAGGAGACAGACCTTCCCCTCCCATCTCAGCCCTGGGATGCCCAATTCTGCTCTGAAGGGGACTTTGGAGGAGTATAGCATGTCCATGCTCAATGCAGTACCCTGGGGTCCGAAATTGGGCCATCCTCATGGAGGATACCCTTGAAACACAGCTCATCCCTCTTGGGCTGCACCTGCATCCTGGTAATGCAAAACATGAGAAACAAAATTCCTGCATGGGACGTTCTCTCCTGTTCCAGTCTGAGTTTAGAGCTAATTTTCTACCATCAGCCCCAGGATACCACTTAATGCTTCTGAGAGAGTTCACATTCTTTCTGCTTACTGCTCTTCTACTCTCTGCATTTGCAGGTAATAGTTGCAACTGCAATCTCTGGCAGCTTTAAGATGCCCGAAAAGTACAATATGCCAGTGGTTGGGAAGATCAGCATGGGGTAAGCATGTGTGCATGTCTGACTCACCATCCAAATAATTTCCCTTCCTCCTCCTTATTCTGCATCCTGGAAAACCCCTCTCTGCTCTACAACAATCCCCTTTCAGAACTGCCAGGCAGGTTTGCTGTGCCCTGTTTCACCATCCCCTAATCCTGTCCACAGCTTAGACACCATTCCTAAAAACACATCCCTGCCTCCAATGCCAGCATCCCAACCACCTCTTTGTTCTAAATGCAGGTTCCCAGAGCCCACCCTGCCCCTGGTGAGCAAGTGGAAGGACATGATTGGCACAGCCTTCTCGCTCGCCATCGTGAGCTACGTGATCAACCTGGCCATGGGGAGGACGCTGGCAGCCAAGCATGGCTATGATGTGGACCCCAACCAGGTAAAGCTTGCTCTGGAGAGATGCAAGAATGTTCCCCTGTCTGTCAGGCGTGAAAGGAAGATCTTGCTGCATGAATGGGAAGCTTGCAAATGCACGTGGCTGCTCAAAATGTACGTGCTTCTCCCACACACATGGCAGCCTGCCAGGCAGGGGCCAAAAGGACTTGGCAGATCCATTTCCTTCAGGTGGGAGAGGCACTGTCAAAGGGAGGAAAAAGACTTTGTTTCAGCTCACTGCTTTGCTTTCCCTCCAGAGCTGAGGCTTCAGCCCCAGGTTCTGGCCCAGATGGCATTTTTGCAGGTCGTTGAAGCACAGTGAAGCACATGTGTTTCTTACAGAGCAGACGAGGGCCTGGATTCCTGGTGTGTCACCTAGATACTGCGAGAGGCAGGACATTAAATAATCCTCTCCTGTCATCACTGGCACCAGTGGTAGCTTTCAATAAGAGCCATGCATACCACATGAAGCCCTGCCCTTAGTGTGTCAACAACTGACAACGTGTTTGGATGGCACGGTGCTTCCAGGCTGCCCTGCCATGGTGGCTGGAACCCATCTCAGCTCTTCTTGGAAGGAAAGGCTCTGGGATACACTGTAGGGAATAGGAGCTGGGGGCTGTGTTTCTCTTCTCAAACACCTCTACAGGGCAGGACTGGAGCTGCTCACTGAAATGACTGTGTTCCTCCTTCTCCACAGGAAATGCTGGCCCTGGGCTGCAGTAACTTCTTTGGATCCTTCTTCAAAATCCACGTCATCTGCTGCGCTCTCTCTGTCACTCTTGCTGTGGATGGGGCAGGAGGGAAATCACAAGTTAGTACTTCCCCATCCTCAATGCAAATCCCTGCAGAGGTGCGTGCTGCCAGCATGACATCACTGCAGGCTTGAAAAAGCTCCGTGTAGGAGTGCTTCACATTGCTGTTAAATACAAAATGTACTCTACCGACCCCATTTTTCCCTGCATGGTTCATTGGACCTGTCTCAGACATAGGGCTGTCAATGTGTGCTCCCCTGATTGAGCAGAGCATGAGGGAAGCTTTGGGCTGTCTGTGAGAACTGGAAAATTTTAGCCTGCTTCTCAGAGGCAATGGCTGCTCACACAGTTCTGCATTGCCCAACTCCAGTGTTGGCTGAAGCAGCTGGAGAACAAGGACCAGGAGAGGTTCAGGAAGACCCTGATGTTTAATGAAATGGTTTTTCTCCTTTTTGCAGGTGGCAAGTTTCTTTGTGGCATTGGTGGTTATGGTGACCATGCTTTCTCTGGGAATTTATCTTGAGCCTCTTCCAAAGGTAAGGTGAACAAATGTGCAAAAAGTGCAGCAGCAGCAGCATCTCAACCTCTTCATGCTGGAGAATGCTCAGCCTTGCTTCAGAGAACTCATCAAGCCTTGCTTGATGCAAACCATTGCACAGCATGATTTGCTATGGGCTGGGGTCCTGTCTGTAGGAAACAATGATCTTTCAAACCATCATGCTCCAAACATGATCTTTGTGATCTTCATTGTCTCCACTGTGCTGGCGTGCTGGGAAAGCATCTGCTGTGGCACATGCTCAGCACCATGCACAGGGTAACACCATGCCCTCCTCTCTGCAGTCTGTCCTGGGAGCCCTCATCGCTGTCAACCTGAAGAACTCCCTCAAGCAGCTGGCTGATCCCTTCTACCTGTGGAAGAAGAGCAAGCTGGACTGCGTGAGTGCCTGGGGATGGGTGGGGGGACCCCTGGATCCCTCCTGGGGAAAACGGGTTTTGCTCCACTGCTGTGCTCCATCCACTTCTGAGTGGTCCGGAGCCGTGGCCTGGCCACATATCATGGAGGCTGAACTATTACCTGCTCTGTTTAAATGCCAATCATCGGCAGGAGCCTGTTTGCCCAGAACTAGCCAAACCGGCCCTGCTCAATATCTAGGAGTCATGACTTAAAAACTCACACAATAGCCCTCCAGGGTGAGGAGAGCCCTTCGCAGCGATAAGGACTCCCGGCACTGGTTGATGTATAAACCCAAGGGGGGGGCGTGAGGGGGAGTGAGAACGGAATTTGGAAATGTCTGACATAAAAAGACAGTGTTTGAACAGGGCTCCCAGGGCTGAGTGGTGTGTGGACACTGAGCCAATATCCTGTCAGGACCCGGCGCACTGCCTTATCGCAGACAACGCGAGTCCAAGGGGGCTGACCTGAATCATCAACTGCTTTCCCAAAACGCTCTGTTCAAACAGAGATGGGTGAGCAGTCCCAGCTGAGCTCTGTGATGTGCGGTGAAGTCACAGGCCCGCAGTCCAGCACAGAGCTCCCAGCAGGCACAAGAGAGTGAGGACAAAGCAAATGCCATTGGGGTGAAGTGCGCTCCACTGACCTTAATCTGCCTGGAATTTGAACTAGATTCAATGCCCTTCCTGTCCCAAACTGGGGAATACCACTTCTGGGTGTTGTCAGCCCATTGGTGTCCATTACCTCAGGTCCGGTCGTGTTTTGGTGCTAATCACACAGATTGCTCCATAGGCACACTCCTGTGTCCAGTCCGGATGGAGAGAATTCACACGTAAAGGCATCATTCTTAATCTCATACCGAGATGCTGAAATTATCAAAATTACCCTGATTTGACCAAGATCAAAGTTAACTCTTCACAGTCTTGAGGATGAGCTCATAATCCCCTGATAATAATTCTCACAAGGCACGCTTATAGAGGACTAATTTCATGTGGATGGAGATGCTCGCGTGCTAATATATAAAAATGACAGATGACAGGACTCTGAGCTGAGAGGTGGAGCAGGTTTTGCTATGCCCTGTCACACTTTGTCATCAGATCTGCTCTGTGCTCAGGTCATTTACAGCAGGCTCTCAGGCGGTTTGCAGATCGATGCTCATTCCTTCCAAACGTTCTGAATGACAGCAGGAGCTTTCCTGGGGGTGGGAGTGCTGCTGAGCAGCAGATGGTCTGATCTGCAGGAGCCTTTTCTTGAGACTTTTTGTGCTGAATGAGTGACGGGAGGTCATGCAGCTATGAAGAATTACACTGGTTGCTTTACAGCTGAAAAGCTGGGGCTTCTGGCTAGCTTCCCAGCAGCGACGCTTCACACGAAAACATGCAATAAGCAGTGTAATTAGAATAGCTGCAGCATTCTTTTGATCCTCAGCTGTGCTGTTCTTTGGGTCTCGAATATCAGCACGAGCCATTTTCCGTACCTCGCTGTGCTCCAGCCCAGGGCACAGCAGAAGAACCATTCCTTGCCCTTCTCTTTCTGCAGCTGGTCTGGCTGGTGAGCTTCCTGGCTGCCTTCTTCTTGAGCCTGCCCTACGGAGTCGCAGTGGGTGTGGGATTTTCCGTGCTGGTTGTGGTTTTCCATACCCAGTTGTAAGTACCACCGTAGCTCCAAAAACCTAAAGAGAAGGAAGCATCTCCCAGCTGCAGAATAATAAGCAGTAGGTTATTTTCAATAAGCAACCTCTGGCCCGTGTTTCGAAGGAACGTGCAGTCTGAGCCTGGGGGAGTGCAGGTGTCCTCCTCAGCCCCTGGAATGTGCAAACAGGAATGGCAGGCGTTAATTTACTGCCTGCATTCCCACTCCTGTGCACGGTTAGCAATGTGCACATCCCAAGGCAGGGGGATGTCAGAAGATATTTACCTCAGCCAGAAAAGCTACCTGCATAGTTCCCAGCAGTGCTGCTCATAGAAAGAGCCCCATGTATGTGCAGAGAAGCGCTATTTTTAATCCACAAAACCCTTCATTAACACCTCCCAGACTGGGAGCTCAGGTAAAGCCAGTTGGTCCCTGGGGTGGGGAGCCCTGCCAGGAGCAGGCTTGCAGCCAGGCATGGGATCCAGCTGAAGCACTGTCTGGCTGCTCTGCAGCCTTGTGCTGGATCTTTCCCTGGTGAGCAAGGCAGTCTCGTGGGTTGGCTGTGTTCTGCCAGCATCCAAGCAGGCTCTGCAGGGCTGAAATCTGAGCATTTTCCTAAAGCAATGCTCCAAATCCTGGTGATGGGTACAAAGAGAAGCAGTTTTCTTCTTCTGTAAGATCTTCTCTAACTCTGGTTGGATTTTTCTCCCAGCCGGAACGGTTCCGCACTAGGCCAAGTAACATCCATGGACATCTACAAGAACCCCAAAGCCTACAACAAGGTAAGCAGGAGTTAAAATATCCTCAGAGAAGAAGCTGTTCTTTGCCTTTGGTGCCCAATGTGACCAAGAGACCCAAGCCCAGCTTTCTGTCCCAGTGAGGTTGTTTGCTGTTTGTTTCAGGGCTGCCCTTCACCTTGGCTTTCCCAATTATCCACTGCCCCCAGCCCTGACCACTCTGCACCCCACGCAGCCCCACGACGTCTGGTTTGAGCTCTCCTCTCTCTTGCAGGTACACGAACTCAACGGCATTAAAATCGTGACTTACTGCTCGCCACTGTATTTTGCCAACTCAGAGATATTCCGCGAGAAGATTATAGCCAAGGTGAGCAATGCCCTGAGAAATTCCTGCTTGCAGCCAATCCCAAATAGCCCTTGCTCTCTCCTGTCTTGCCAGGCTGAGATAATTAACCCTAGGATCATCATGCTCTTGTAGATCAAGAGACATACTCTTCTGCCCTTTTCTCTCTGATCTGTTTTTAGATCTCACTTTAGAGGTTATATTTCCATCTTGGCAAGTCTCCTCCTCCAGGCTCTGCCAAGCAGTCACTCTGCTGCACGTGTCTCTCCATGCATGTGCCCACCCTGCATTGCAGGACATGGTGCTGTCTGGTTGCCATCACTGTCACCTCCTGTGCACAGCTGCTGCTGTCCTCTTGTGCCGCATGCCACAGGCCAGGAAAACTCAGGGGGATCCCTGACTCTGGGTCTGAAGAGGCTTTTTCAGAGAAACTCTCTTTTCTGCAGACTGGAGTGGATCCTGGGAAAGTGTACTTAGCCAGGAAGAAATACGTGAAATGGCAGGAGAAGGGGACAGCACAACCATCAACAAAGCCACCAAAATTCTTACTGAGGCAGAACAAGGTAAACTCGGTTTGGGTGCTTGTGTTGCTGAACAAAGCTCCCCAGATCTCCAGCAGAGAGTTCCTCTCAATGTATGATTTTCTGCACGGTCTTCCCAGTTACATTTACTACCACCTGCCCTCTTTCCTTCCCACCCACAGTTCCATTTCTCCCAGTAGTCGAAACATTTATGTGCAGGACAACTGGAAATGGCTGGGAGCAGGAAAAATGTAGAGATAGCAAGTTTGGAATGACAGCAAGAGAGTTTCTTTTGCTAGACTGTGGATTTGCCCTAAGGATGTACCTATGTCAGCATTTCAGCTCAAATCCTTCCCTTGTGAAGCACATTTCCAGTCATCCCCTCTCAGTGTCTGAAAAGATCCTGCATTTCTTCCATGCAAAAAAAAGCTTTTCTTGGCTCACAAAGAGCAGCGGTCCTGCCTGACTGCTTACCTCTGCTTTCCCATAGACCTTATCCTTGCAAGAGCTCCAGAAAGACTTTGAAAGCACCTCTCCAACAGACACCAACAACAACCAGACGACTGCTAACGGCGCCAGCATCTCTTACATCACATTCTGCCCTCCTGCCAACGGCGCCGGGCAGGTGCACACCTCCAGTGAGCTGGGCAGCACCACCACTCTGCAAGGAAGCACCTTCAGGGTCATGTCAACTGCAGATGTTGACCCCATGGCCACGGCACCGCCCTATGTCAGCTTCCATACCATCATCCTGGACATGAGTGGGGTGTGCTTTGTTGACCTCATGGGCACAAAAGCACTGGGCAAGGTGAGTTCTCTGCTACGAACACAGCCAGGCTCCTTACCACCCAAGTACCTTCCACTCCCTTGTGCAGTTTAGATAAAGATGTTTACCCTCCTCAATCAGAGGTTTGTGTGAGTTTCTCCTTCAGCATTCCCAGGACACGTGTAAAGCCTTGGATAAAAGACTTCATGTATAAACACAAAGCCAGAGCAGCAGTGTTATTAATCCTTTCTCTGCCCTCTCATCTCTTCTAGCTGTGTTCCAGCTATCAGAAGATTGGGATTAAAGTGTTCTTGGCAAACGTGCATGGTAAGAATCCATGAAGAGCACACTTCCATGTGCATTTCCTCCATTTTGGGACTTTTTTGTTTTCTTTATGCAAACTTTGCTAGCTGTCATCACTTTGTAGGACTAAATCAGAACAGATGAAAGAGTTGAACAGATGAAAGAACAGAAGAAACAAAAGAAAAACACTGTTCTCTGTCTGCATAATAAGTTCTTTCGTTTGGGAAGTGATATTATTGGAAAATCTCTGCATTTAGCACATAGAAAAATAGACTGGCAATAGAATAATTTAGCAAACTATGCATTCTGGGCTTGCCCTAACTCACAGAAGCACCATCAGCCATGTTCACTTTTCAAGGCTTCCTTCTTTGCTCTCACCCTGGTTCATGTACCTTTCTTTTCCCCAGCCCAGGTGTACAACGACATCAGCACAGGTGGAGTTTTTGAAGAAGGAGGCCTGGACAGAAAGCACATCTTCCTGACCATCCATGATGCTGTTTTGTTCGCACTGGCAAATATCAAAGAAGTCCACCCGCCCATCTTAGAAGAGGTACATTTGCTCCCCATTTGCTTTCTCTCCACCTCACAGTACTGTACTGTTAAGTCCATACACTGTGCCAGCACAAAGGAAGAACAAAATCTCACTAATGCACATAGTAAACATTCTTGTTTATCTTAAGTGGTAAAGGTCTAAACCCAACAACCTATTTCATATCCGAATTTTCATGTACAAGCCAAGCTCCTGCTGATTGAATTGCATTAAACGGGAAGTTGGAAGTGTAAATGTTTTCTGCAAGGCCCGAGGTGGGAGATGAATGTTGTCCCAGCTGGTAGAGGCCAATAGAGCAGTGCCAGGTCTGCGCTCTCTGTCTGGCGTTGGCTGGAGCATGCTGCACTCAAGAGCAGAATATGGCCACTGCAAAAGGAGGCAAAGCAAATGCACCTGCCCTTGAACATCCATGAATGCTTCCCTTAGTAGGAAGAGAAAAGGTCAAAGCAGGAATGTGGCACATGCTGACAACAGAGGGTCAGATAGGTTATTTCCCCAAACATACATCAGTTTATTGCATAATAACCAGAGCTAGAACCAGGGCAGTTTTACTCAGTTATCTCCTAACAGTAAGTTTACGTATGCCTTATCTCTGCAGCGATATGTAAGTGCTAGCTCAGTCAGCGATGATAAACAGCTGCAACAAGATTCCACCTGTGCCCTTTCTGCTTGGGCATTACCCTTTGGGCATGTGTGGGGCACTCAATTCTTTCACTGTGTTTGTCCCTGAACTCTGTTAATTCATGAATTTGATTCTTTCCATTGCAGAGGCCGAATCAGACAGAACTCTCCATCTACGATGAGTCTGTGGATGAAAGCAGCTCGGAGTTCACAAACTTGGAGGAGGTTAGTCCTAGTGCCTGGGGTCACTTCTTCACCTGTGGGCAGGAGGGAGACCAGGTGGGACATTCTACCTTGAATCAGGAGGCATTTTCCCAGGAGGTGGCACTGCCTGATGCTGACCCCCACACTATGAGGAGGAGGTCAGGGAAGGGCTGGGGCTTCAGCTGACATTGCTTTGTGCAACTGAACCACTTGCTGGGTTTGTGCTCTGCCATGGCACCAGCCCTAACCCAGCACGCCTTGTGTGCCCTCTAGGAGATGTTTGGAAGCATGTTCCACTCAGAGACACAGACAGCGCTGTGAGCCTTGTGCTGATAAACCCTCCTGGACAGCCTCCTCTTTCCCATCCCATCATGAAGAGCTGCAGTCCTACCCAGGAATACAAAGAGTTTGCAAAGCAAGAGCTCATCACGCCTCTTGAACTGGTAAATTTCTCCTCCTGCTCTGCTTCTGGTGCTCAGAGAAATGGCCTCTGGAGCAGACAACAGAACACCACGGAGCAGGAACTCAGGAAATGCCATCCTATTAATCACAGAAGAGAAGCAAGCTCACCTGACGGCAGGTGCCTCAGCACATGGGATGATCAGTTGGTTTTGCCACATGCTTGCCTTTGTCTCACACAGTCACAAACTTCTGCCCACAGAGGCATTACATAATTTGGGCATCCCCCTTCTTTCTTTTCCTTCCTCCTTCTTTTCCCGATGAAATGAAATTAAGCAAATATTGCGAGCCTCTCACGGCTTTGAATCACGAGCGAAAACAGCTTTTGCAAGGTGCAGCCTGTAAGGTAATGTTGTTTCAAGATGTGCACTGACTGTCGGGGTGCCTGCACTGCAGGTGCCAACCTTTGTGTTCTCCCACATTTCTCCATGCCTCTGCACTGCTCTCTGTGTGACCCAGAAACCACAGCCTCCAATCAGTGCTGCGTTTCTCACACCTTAAAGACCCTGGTGCAGTATCTCAGGAGGGCTATTTTCCGGATTATATTTTTACTTATTAATAGGACTAGCTTGTAATAGGGAGTATGAATTCCTCATTACTGTGTGCTGTGTGTGCATGCCAGTCTGCCTGCCCAGTAAGTCAGTATGTGTTCAGATGACCCAGGCTCAAGTTAAAATCCCTCCTGACATTTTTAGGCATCTTCCTTCTGTCTGAACAGGGCTGCAGAGAAGGTTTTTAGACTGTGCATGTCACGAAAGCATTAATTCCAAGGGTGTTCTGCCTCTCTTTTCATCTTGTTGACTGCAGTACCTAAATGATTCAGCCTGGTACGTGGATTAGTGTTTTGTGGAGATATATATACATCTATATATATTTTTTCCCAAGTCATTTTGACCACAAAAAGCAAATGCAGGGACAGCGAGGAATCCCCTTCTTCTAAAGTCCTGGATCCAGGGCAGCAAGATGAAAATTTCAGCCCGTTTTGTATCTGCAACTGGTAACACCTGCACTATGGAGGGCTTCTGATGACAAGCTCTCAGATGGTCACTCAGGCAGCAAGGGAACATTCTTTTTTATATGTGATATTTCTGTAACAATTCTCTACTGCATATTTGATGGTTTTCATTAAAATTCATCTCAGATTGATAATACCAGGACCATCTACCTCTCAGGCAAACAAGCCTGACACTCTAACCCAGAAAAGACAGATGAGATCTTAATCATTTCTAGAAATCTGGCATTCTTTTATATTTGAGTGATGCTTATAACAAGTGCTATTTTAATTTCCCTTTCTGACACCTTCCCTTCTTACCCAGAGCTGATATTGTGACAGTAATGACAAGATAACAATGTAAAGCCTGAAAAAATCTAAGCAGAAGCCAAGAATTAAAGGGACCCTTCTTCAGTGCATTTCAACCTCAAATATGGCTTTGATGAAAGTAAGGCCATAGAAAATTTAGTATGTCTTCAGTTGCAACGAATGCAGATTTTTCTGTTTGATTTTCAAATCCTCCTACAAAGTATTTCCAGCACTGGGATAAAGACAAGAGTCAACAAGCAAAACTGAACAGTCTGTTATATTTCCATGAATTAAGAAAAAAAAAGAAAAAAAAAGTCGCCTTAATAATCAAAGCAAATTATATTTTTAAAGCTTATTTTGATTTTATTGCTCCACGACTTTAAAAAGATAAACAAGTTTTAGTGCACAATTTCAAGGTACATATTGAGTTGATTCATTAACACATTGCTGGAAGGCTTTCTGGGCAGACAAAGCAGAGCTTCCCTATTGCTCCCAGATGTGCCATTTTTAAGGAAAATAGAGCTTCATGAACCATCATAGCTAGAAAAAACATCACAGGTAATCACATCACGACCTGCCACTTTGCTTTTATGTAACACCTAAGCCACCATTTCTCTACCTCAGTTTCGGATTATGTGGTGCAGGAGAGTAATAACACCAAAAAAAAGTTAGTTTCCCAAAAGAAAAAAGCCACCTACTAATAGTTATTACTTATTTTGATCAGAGACAGCAGTGCTTTTTCCAGAACTGTGTTTTGTTGTACAAGCTGAAAACAAGAGCTGAATTATCTTATCTTAGAGGGTGATTACTCATGCTGTTTTGCTACTGCCTGAGTGTTCCTTTTATTCACTCATATGAAGGAAAAAAAAAAAAAGGAATTGGTGCAACGGAACACAAAGCTATTCTACAGTAAGCAATCAACACTTCTGTATGTCTGAGGTTGCTTTGCTTCAAACAAGGAAAACTGCAGTTTCCAGTTCCTCATTTGGGTTTAGTTGGAGGAGACTGATTCCTCAGGATCTGCCAGACCTCATGCAGGAAACCTCGGAGCAACAGGCTGTGCATGAAGAATAGATTTTGTTTCTTGAAGTTCCTGCAACATAACAGATGGGATCTCAAGGGAGGCTACAATAGCAGCACTGGCATACAGTGATGATTCTTTTTGGTAGCCACAGGTCACTTCTGGTGACAACATGAACAGATAGAACCACTGGAAGCTCAACAATGTCTTCATTTCCATGTCCTGGTCAGGAGAGTGAGGGAAACTCCAATTTATACTGGGGTAGAAAATCTTTAACTTCAGTGTCCTTTTATTGCTGACGGTGTGTAATGGCTCTGAAGCCTCCCGTGATAAACTCATGATGTATAACCAGCTCAGAATGTTTGTAATTTATTTAATTTAATATCGGTTTTGTTCTTTTTTTTTTTTTCTTTTTTTTCTTTTTTTTTTATAATAAAGAATATCTGAACAATCGCTTGCTTCTGCTGCTGCTTTGAGGCTTCCTGGTAGCTCCCAGCTGGCGTTTAGCACTTCAGAAACATTGACGCCATGGGATAAAACGATGCGACCCTTCAGCACAACGCTGCTGTAGAGAAGGAACACGTTTTCCATCGTGCTCCGTGGTGAAACCAGACAGGAGGTATGCATTCACAATGCTGGCAAGAGTGAGGGGAAATGTCAGGAGACACATACAGAAGGAAAAAATGTTGTGGGAGTCAAGGAGATGTGGCTGGGGCGGCTTGAGGAGCTGCTGGAAGCTGAGGGTCTGAACCTCCTCAGGTCTGAACCTCCTGAGGGCCTGAATCCCCTCAGGATGAGGCCTGCTGCTGCCAGCCATCTCCTCCAGCGTGGCTTATTCCCTCACAAAGACACCCGTTTTTCACCACATCACACTGCCACATTGCCAGCAGCCCCATGGCACAGCTCACTCCTGAATAAAAAGCTCAATTTTCACCGAGCGCCCAAACAGGAAGAAAACACCACACTTCACTCGTCCCGCCAATAAGCCGCACGACTCCCAAGATACCTCACGCGGAGGGCGGGACCGCGCTTCCCATTGGCCAGCTCCTCGAAAAGCCGCGCGGCGATTGGTCCGCGGCCACGTCCGTCCGCCTCCTGGAGAGAGCGGGAAGGGGCGGCGGTCGAAGTCCGCCGGTCATGGCGGGTGGGTGCGGGAGGTGGCGGGTGAGGCTGTGCGCGGCGGCTGTGGGACTGAGCGCGGCGGTGCTGGCGCTGACGGCGGCGGTGCTGATCCGCGCCTACGCGCTGCGATCCCCGGCCATCCCGCGGCTGTGGGAACGGCGCGGGGGAACGGCCGCTTTTAGTATCGGAGAGAGGTTGGAACTGAAGGAAACGCTGCGAGGTGAGGGGCGTTTCGAGAGCCCTGGGCTGTCCCGCAAGGTTCGGTGTTGGAGGGTCTGTGTGTGTGTGAGATGCAAAGGGCTGATGTTGAGCAGGGAAAGCATTGGTTGGTGATCGGGTTTTGTGGGTTGATCTGGTCGTATTGCCGTCGGAAAGGTGAATTCGTGAATTCCCGACTATCTGCCAGAACGCTGTGTGGGCAAGGAATCGGTTTCCTTCGTAGTAGTGCCATCCTTAATGACAACCAGCCCCTGAAAAACCAAAATATGTTCTGGTTTTGTGGGGAAAAAAAGCTCTGAAACAGAAGGGAAATGCAGCACAGCTGAGCTGAAGGGCACCCGTCCTTCCATTGCGGTCACCCATCCCCCGAGCTGTGAAACAATCTGTAAAGCCTCAAAAATGCCAAGGAACGTAAATATTGCTTTGCCTTTTGAAGTGCCAGTCTGATTTCGATGTCAGTTGATCTCTGTTTTCTGTTTGACCGAAGGTGCTGTTAAAATCCCGACTGTTTCCGTGTCTCCAGAGGACTTAAATGCAACCGCCATGGCAGAATTTGGGGATTACATTCAGAAAGGTATTAATTAATTCATCAGTGATCCCTGCTGCTCTTTTTTACTGTACAGTGGAGTAGTGCATGCAGGCTGGATGTGGCTCTGTGCAGCCTGGTCTGCTGGTTGGCGACCCTGCACATGGCAGGGGGTTGGAAATGGATGAGCATTGTGGTCCTTTTCAACCCAATTGTATGATTCTATGAAGGATACGCCCACAGCCAAAGCTAGCAAAGAAAAAAGCCCTTTTCAGTGTTCTTTAGATGGCTAAATGACTTTGCCGTGGAAAAAAAATTAAGGTACTGTTTCAGCCTAACTGGCAGCTCCATCATTGCTCTAAAACGGCTGCAGCACTGATGGATGACAGTTGCCATTTTTCCTTAAGAAAATCATAGAATCACTAAGGTTAGAAAAGACCCACAGGATCATCCAGTCCAACCATTCACCCATCACCAATGGTTCTCGCTAAACCATGTCCCTCAACACAACATCCAAAAGTTCCTTGAACACCTCCAGGGTCGGTAACTCCACACCTCTCTGGGCAGCCTGACCACCCTTTCAGAGAAGTAGTATTTCCTAACGTCCAGCCTGAACTTTCCCTGGCACAGCTTGAAGCCATTCCCTCTAGTCCTATCACCAGTCACACACCAGACCATCAGCTCACTACAACCTCCCTTCAGGTAGTTAGAGAGAGCAATAAGGTCTCCCCTGAGCCTCCTCTTCTTTAGACTGAGAAATCCGAAAATTCCAAACCTGAGCCCACATGGGTTGGTGGGAGTGTGAGAGTGAAGCTGCACATCTGATTCCTGGAACAAGTTTGTTGAGCCTATTGAAGCTAAATATCTGACTGCTCCATGGGGTGTACAGTGACACAATTGGAAATTAGCACTGATTTTTCTTTTCCTTGTGTTTCTATTTTTCCAAACAGTTTTCCCAGCTGTATTTTCTTCCAAGTTCATTCAACACGAAATTGTTGGGGAGTACAGCCACCTCTTCACAGTTCAGGGTTCTGACTCTGAAATGATGCCCTACATGCTGCTTGCACACATGGATGTTGTGCCTGCTTCCCCTGAGGGTTGGGATTTCCCTCCTTTCTCAGCTGCAGAACATGAAGGTTTCATCTATGGACGAGGAACTCTGGACAACAAAAACTCTGCCATTGTACGTCTTCTTGGTAATATTTCAGAGAGAGGAAAAGGCAGATTGAAAGCATGTACTCTTTTGAGATTGACCACGTTGTCTCTCTTGCCCTTCTTTCCTAAGAAAATTCCTGAGCCCTGCAGTTTCTCCCCAACTTTTCCTAGAGGTGAAGTGAGGTGGTCTTCTATTACTGCAGAAAACAATGAGGTCTCTTTCAAAATATAGAAAAACATATCTACAGGTGCAGATGTATTTGGTTGAATGGTTTTGTTTTGAAGCTCCCTCCTACTGTGAACTGCACAAGTGATCCCACAAATGGACAATAAAAATCAGTGATTTTGGTGGAAGAGACGAGATGATTGCTTGTGAGGTTGAGGTGATGTGAATTTCTGCTAAAAATGACAAACAAACAAATAGAAAACTGTAGTTTAAAAGACGAGGGAAATGGAAAAATGTGGCAGGGGGCAAATGGTAGATTTCATTTCTTGTTCTTTGGAGTAAATTTCTCATTCTTCTGTTTCTACCTTAGTACTTTTTGTATGAAACATGTTAAACTCCTTCACATAAATGGGGTTGGTAGCTCAAGTCAGAGCCAGGCTGTGTAAAAGAGAGATGATTTAAAGGAGCAGTGGAGTCCTTGGATGATGAAAAGCATCGTGCTTTTCATCATCCAGTCAGTTTGTCCCTGACTTCATCAGTTGGAAGAACAAGCCTGCACTGTATTGTGTATGCATAGACTGACACTGTGTATCACACCAAGTCTGAAGCATTACTTGAGAATATGAATGTCATCAGCAGGAGCTGAAGAAGTAAAAACTCAGTTGTGAGCAGGAGAAAGTCTCCTTACAGGCTGAGAATGCTTCGTGGTTCCTTTCTGTTACACTACAATCTTTTACACTTATTCTCCCACTAACACCATGTGGTAGTAAAGTATTCTGAGATGGGTTTATGTGTTTCTTTTCTGCAGGGGATTCTGCAAGCTCTAGAATTCTTACTGAGAAGAAATTATAGACCCCGCAGGTCTTTCTACATTGGCATTGGCCATGATGAAGAGGTATTTTCTTTCATTTTGGCTAGACAACTGCTTGTTGGGCATGTACATAATAAGGCTTATTTTTTTAAACCTTGTTCACCTAGAAAATCCTTCCTGTTCATTGTTATGTGTGTAGATACTGTCAGGCTCGTACTCATAGTTGTGTATTGATTGTTTGGCTTTAAGTGACATTGATGGGATTTGGTGTAATGAGTAATGAGAAAAGAAGGCAGCAGAGTGTTATTTCAAGTTCTTTTCTGATTGCAGACGTGGAAGAGCTTGGGTGTGTATGTAACACATGGCAGGCTGGCCAAAGATTGGCTTGGTTGTTGCAGGTGATGAACAGTAAGATGCTTTCCAGCATTCTTCCCTGTGATGTGGCTGTACTTTGCCATTTCCTGACTGCTTTCTCACAGGTGTTTGGTCGGAAGGGAGCAGTGAAGATTGCAGCTCTGCTGGAATCCAGAGGAGTGAAACTCTCCTTCTTGCTGGATGAGGGAAGCGCCATACTGGACGGTATCATTGCGGGCATGAAGAAGCCAGTAGCTCTGTAAGTAAAAGAGAAAAAGAATCATTGTGATGAAAGTGATTCATTTCCATTAATTATGTGTTAGAAATGACTTTGCTAATGTCACCAAAATGTTTTCAAGGCATGAGGCAGTGTTGGTATTGCTGTAATGACAGCGAGCAAAGGGCCTTTGGTTTGCTTGCTGTCCATCGCAGCTGTGCTGACAAAAGCAGAATGTTCTGCTTATCTCATGCAAGAGTGTTAATTGTATGCTGTAGAGTCTGTTCACAGGAGGAGAAGCCAAGAAGTCAGACCTCCAAATGTTTAAAGATTGCTGAGAATTTGTTATGGCTGTTTCTACAGTGTTTCATGTAATGCTAGAAGTATACAGGCTAGTTTCTTCTACCCATGCTCTGTGCAGGTGTGTTTGGAGTTGCATCAATCATTTATTTATTTGTGTTTGGCCAGAATTGCTGTCACAGAAAAAGGTTCAATAACACTGAACTTCACTGTGGAAAAAGAGCCAGGACATTCATCCTTCCCTCCAAAAGAGACAAGTATTGGCATTCTTGCAACAGCAATGTCCAGGTGAGAGCTCCCCTGTTGTCTGACATCAAAGACAGGCAGGTTCCTCAGGCGTTGATATTTGACTTGCTTTTGTAATATTTGCTTTTAGAGTATTTAGCAAATTCCCCTTACAGATTTGAAGCTGAAGTTTGCAGCTCACTTTGAAGGGCAGAAATGCAATGCCCAGCAAAGGGACAATAGCCATATGTCTAGAGTGTCTGGCTGGTAATTGTCCAAACCAATCAACATGATGTAGTGTTAGAATATTTTATCCTGAAGCTGAGTAAATTTTCTCATTACGTATCTCTGTAGGTAGCAAACTGACTAGTAGGTACATATTTCAGATAAACCTCATATATGGTGTCATTTTAAAATATATTTTTATGTATTCTTCATAAGTCATACATTTCTTCAGTTGGTCTAGAAAGAAAATTGTTACATGTAACTGGAATGCTCAGAAATGTACAGTGGAATTGTGTTCATGGATGAAAGTATGGTTACATCTCCAATACATAAATATGTTTTAGAAACCAAATCCCCATCAGCCTTCTGGAGCAGTAACAGCCAAAGACTGTTTTAATTCCCAGTGTTGATTTGCTTTGCCTTAGACTGGAGCAGAATCCCATGCGCAATCTGTTTGGCTATGGTCCGGAACTCATGACTATGGAGCACCTTGCATCAGAGGTGAGGAAAGAGCCATAATTTAATTCCCAGTTTTTCATATTGCTAAGTGAAGAGTAACTCAGCATATGAGCTTGGAGCACAGTTATGTAATTCTTGGAAAGAAGACTGAAGCTGGCATTTATCCCATGCTCTGAGTTTTTCCTGTTGGCCTTGGTTCACGTGCATGAACGTGTTATCTTCTTGACAACTAGAAACTTACTAATTTGTGCTTCTGTTTCTTCCATTTAGTTCAATTTTCCTCTCAATCTCATCATGAGCAATCTCTGGCTGTTTTCACCTATTGTCAGCAGGTAAGCAATCATATCCTTGCTGAACGCTTTCAGTCTCACTTGTAAGAAACGAAGGCTTGTCAGAAAGTATTGATTTCTGGTCATCCCGGGAAATCAGTTACACCATTTAAAGTCAGTGCTTTACAGTTAACAAGCAATTTGTTAATTAAATAGGCCTCAGTTCAGCTTGTTCCCTATGTAAATGTGGTGCTTATGTTGAAAAGAAATGTCTTTGAAAAATGACTCTTTTCTTTTTGTAAGAGTTCTTGCCTGGAAACCTTCCACTAATGCCTTGATTCGAACTACTACAGCAGTCACAATGTTTAACGCAGGAATCAAGGTAGCTTCATCTTGATAATGTTTATCATCCTTATTATTATTTGTTCAGTATAATGGGGCAGTTAGGACTTTCAGTTTCTGTCTACATACATCTAATTATAAGATCAGTACAGCCCTAATCTCAGACCCTGTGTGCTGTCACAACCAGTCTGGTTCTTACTTCGGGCATGACTTGAATTTAGCTGCAGTTGCAACTTATTTCCTCTCTGAAGTATCTGAAATCTGTCACAAAGAGACATTTGTAAACCAACATTAAAATTGTTTACATTTTAGGATAGACAAAAAACCAGACAATGTATTGTGGACACTAACTGAAACTGTTACAGCTGCTTCCCTCACCTAGATAGGAACTTGCTTTTGTGAGCATAGGTCAGGCTTTTACCATCATTTGAGGAGGGTTAGCATGCACCTTGGACTGAGAGAAAACAAGTTCTGGCTGATAGAGGCAGATTTTGCCCTGATAATGAGGTGTAGCTATCCAAAAATATTACAGCCCTGGAAAATAAACAGGGCTTTTGGTGTGTCCCTGATACAGGAGTGATACAGTGGCTGAACAGTGACACTGAGTGGCCAGGACAGAAGTAACACTCTGATTTGTTTTGTTGTTTTAATTCATACCTTTTCAACAAAATTTAAATATTCTGTGGCAAAGAAGAGTCAGTTACTATTTTAGTGAAGACACAACATATCTCATAACTGAAAAAAAATAATGTGGCCATAAAAGGAAAAATACTGAAAACAAGCCTTCTCAAAATTTCGCAGTGCAGAGTTTCTGAAGGCAAGTGTCTCATCATAGGAGGAAAGCTTCTATGTAGCAGCTAGCTTCATTTTTTCATTGACTCAATGGCTATTTATTTTTGTAATTATCTGCATTATAAACGAGGTGCAGTATTTGAATGCTGGATACAGAAATAGATCTCATACTTATATCAGTGGAAATGGAGTGACACATTCATCTGTGAGGCCCAGCATCACTGAGCAGTTTCTGAGTTTGCAGTTGCCTTTCTAATCTGTTTCTAACCTTCCTTTTATGTTCTGACATTTTTCTTTCTTTTTTTTTTTTTTTAGCTCAATGTCATCCCATCATCTGCAAGAGCAACTGTGAACTTCCGGATCCACTCTGCAGAGAAGGCCATTGAGGTATTCCTGCCTGCACAATTATTCATTTTTTTTGCTCTCATCTCGAATAACTTACGTTTTTCTACCTTTGAAACAGATAACTAATGGCTGCTCTGCTGACTGGAAGCTTCCCTCTGTTTTAATGCTTTTCCATGCTCTCATGCATTCTGCCTTCCAAGCTATTGAGTGTATTCTAATCAAGAACCACACATAACACAGCTCAGACATGGGATGTGGCAATAAAGTGCCTTGGTATATAGGCACGTGAGTGTCCTCCCCACTCCTCTCCTCCCTCCCTCCACAGCAAAGTGGAGCTCTGCCATCTGAAATTAACTTAGCCCTTGTGGCAGTAGATGTAAGAACACTCTTTTCATCTCTCTTCATGTTTAAACAGTTGCATGGGAAGGTTTGGGAGCTGCTCCTTAATGGAGGCTGTCAGAAGTGCAGCTCACCTCCTGTCCTTTCTCCTCTGAGATGGAGTGCAAAGTGCATTGTTTACTATGGCCTGTTCCTCACTTAGCCTCAGCACTGCACTACATTTGGGTATGTTTACTTCAGTCGGGCTCTGTTCTGGGTATTGTTTTTAGGAGTGCAGTGCAAGTGAGCAAAATTGATTTGTTTATGAGTGGAATAGAGTTTATTCAGAACAACCTTCTTAGAAATGCTGTACAGATTCCAAGTATTTTCTGAATATGGAACAGATCAAGAGGCAGACTAAACTTGGAGTTGTGTCTTGCAATTACACTGAGCAGATTTCAAAAGTTTCCTTGTGCCAAAGAGCATATGTGCATTATATGTGATTGTGGAATGGAATAAAGCTTAGGACTTGTGACTTGTGAGAATGTGTGAGTCTTGCACACTCCAGGCTGGACATTCCTGCTCAGCCAAGGACAGCTGTGATAAATTATCAAAAAGTAGTGTCTTCCCTTCCAAAACCTCTCAAAGTTTGTATTTTCTGGAAGCTTGTTCTGGATTGAAGTAGTAAGGAGATTGGCAACAAGCTGTCAGAGCTGAAGTAGTTGAGGAACACCTTGAGGCAGTGATGTGCATTTGATTGCACTGACAAAAATGTTAGCTTAAGTGTCAGCTATCCACCCAGTAAAGGAAGAGAGGCTGCCACACCATTTCGGTCCTAATTCTGCATCTGTATTTGGAGCAAAAGGTAGCAGTCTGTAGAGAAATATCTTTTGCAAAGCAGAATGTATACTGACATCTAGAATAGATGCTCTCTCATTTCTTTCTTCTCTTTATTATTATTTATCTCTGTGATTTACCCATAGGTGCTAGAGACAGTTAGAAACACAGTTGCTGATGACAGAGTGAAGATTGATGTCGTAGAGGCCTTTGACCCTCTTCCCATCAGCCCATGGGATGACCAGACCTTTGGAGTCCATGTTTTTCAAAGAACCATTCTGGATACTTTTCCAAATGTTGACAGTGTAGTCCCAGGTAACAGCAAGCACATGACAATTGTTTCCTCTTCAGCTTCCTCCCTGCTTTTCTCTCCCCCACCTCCCAATATTGCCTTGTTTCCATTTTCTGTGTGTTTCTCCACCCCAGCTGTTAACTACTGGAAACAGCTGTTTTTTCCTCTTTTACTCAGTTCCCTCTTTATGTTTTCAAGTTTTATGTTAGTTTTTAGTGGTGGAAGTAAAAAAGCAAACAGGAAACCAGCAGGAACAATGAGCCTTGAATTTGACTCTCTGCACATACAAAGGAATCTCTTCGGGAAGAAAGGAATTGTGAGGGGAAAGTAGGTCTTCTTTCTTTAGCTCGTCTTTTATTGTTTTCAGAGCTGGCAAAGCCATTCCTACTTTTCTGTATTGTTCCTTATGATCCCAGCCCCTTCCCTTGCTTGCAGCTCCTTTCTATTTCTGTACTATTTGTTGGACTCCAGTTTGAAGCTTGAACTTTAGTACAGGTTTAGTATCACAGCTGTTCTTAGAATGACTGAATCATATGTTCAGTTCCTCTTCTTCGTGAAGGAGAGAGTGTTGTTCTTCCAGGATGTTCCAATAAACTGTTCTCAGTGATTTTTGATTTTGATGTAGTTCGGTGTCACACAGAACTGTAATCAGATGCCTTTCCTTTCTCCTGGGGAAAAAAAGTGTGAGTCATTAAATTGCGGCTGCCATGCACAGTAAACCTGAGGTTTGTTTTCCAGGCACGTGTATTGGAAACACAGACAGCAGGCATTTCACTAACGTCACAGATGCCATTTATCGATTCAACCCAGTGCTCTTGAAGTCAGATGATCTTCCCAGGTACTGTATTCTGTCTGCATGTCGGCAGCTGTTTGGGGTGGGGACTAGAGAAAGAGAGAATTGATATGCATTAGGCTGAAGGAAACCCAGCCTTGTATACCTTGGCATGGTGCTGGTGTTGCTGCACGTTCTGCAAGGCCACCCATTTCCTGCATATTTGGGTGCTGATGATAATTACACTGAGAGAGTGTTAGCCCTTACTCTTCTTTACTCTAAATGAGAGCAAGACCTCGTTCAGGTGTCCCATGTTGGCAGTACAGTGAGGCTGACTGGCTCCTTTATATAGTGCTGCAGTGTGAAAGGTATTGTTCTGGTGGTTGGCCTTGTTTAAGAGTTTGTCCCTATGTTTGGACGCTGAATTTGTTTGCACCTTAAAGTTGAAAGTTAGATTTTCTGGGGTAAAGTAATAACTAAGAACTCCAACATACAAAGGATTGTTTCTTTGTGTAGTATGTAGTAAATTTTCATCTTACTGAGGTGTAAGTGTCACAGGAGTGCTGTCATGCTTTGATAGCTGTGTGGGACAGTGACATAAATGATCAGGAGGTGGGAAGAGAGTTGGGATAAGTTTTCTTTTCCACATACACCATGAGTTTAGATCTGCTGTGAGCCTTAGGATCAGTAAATTATTTCAGTTAGATTGAGCAACAGAACTGCAGTATTTTTGGCATCTGTTGCTGTATTTTCATGCTGAGCATTGCTTAATGAAGTGGCAGGTAGGTGCTGGGTATGTGCAGGTGGCTCACAAATGCATGTTGGAATGAAAAACATTCTTCTCTTTCTACCAGGATCCATGGGTTGAATGAGAGAATCTCGGTTGAGAGTTATGAGAAACAGGTCGAGTTTCTCTTTCAGCTCATTAAGAACTGTGATGTTGACAAGCTTCCGGAGCCTCACGCAAACTCTCATGAGCTGTGAGACAAAAACCCAAGAGGAAAAGCTGCTGAGGTGGACTTTGGGATGGCAGAGGTCTGGGCCATAAGCAGCAGTTGTGTGTTGCACATTGAGTGATGTCTGAAGTTTGGTTTTACATACTGTGGTTTACATACAGATGGAAACACTGCTGGTTTGCAGCTCCAGGCAAACATACAGTTTGCTGTTAAGTGATAATAATAGGGACAAAACACAACCACCCAGATCTCTGTGCATCCCTGGGCTTACGTGCAGCCATTAATCTGATATTATTAATTTTTTCAGCATTTTCTTCAGTCTTTAAGCCTCTGAAATTGGAAGTCACTTAAAAATCAAAGCTGTAATTTGTAGTCATTCATGCATCGTTAAAAGAGGCTGATCTTCCAATGTCAAAGTTGTCTTTTACAGTTAATTAGTTTTCACAAATGATGTGCCTGTCAGAAGCTGGTGTGAGGAGAACATGATGGGGTGTAGATTGGATGTCATTGGATACAGCTGCACTAAGAGGCTGTTGCACTGCTGAGGGTGTGGGCTCCTTTCCCAGCTGATCCTTATAACCAGCATCAGTGGTACTCTCAGGTGATGCCAGGGTGAAATTGATACTGCTGTTTTCTAACTGATTTCTGATTGTAGCTTAAAATGCTGAGCTTTGGGGGGTTTTAGCAATGTTGCTTTAACGTTGCTAACCTGATCTATGCGGTGCTAGAGAAGTTTTTTCCTCTCTTTTCTGTGACTCTCTCTGTCTCTCTCTAGTAAGGCCCAGGATATGTTGTGATGCTGAGTGTCTGAGTAAGGAAACGTGGCTTTGAACAGGTAAACTAAACCAGTACTGCCTGACCGTCCTGTTTCTTTTTTCACTGAATCTGTTTCTGTAGCATTCCTCTTTTCTTCCCCAGAGAACTTCTTTGTGAAAGTTGGTGAAGCTCTCCCATTTCCTCCAGTTCAGAGGGAGCAGAGCCTTCTCTCCACCTTTATGGCCTATTCTTCTACTTCTCACTTTACCTGCTGCTTCTATCGACTCAGCTTTCTGGGAAGTCTAATATGCACAGGCCATTGATATTGGCTGTTTTTATTTCTTCTTGCACTAGCATGCCTGTCTTTGTTGGCACTAAAGGGTTAAATATTTTCTTGGCCTCAACAGTCTGTTCAGTTGGAGTTACTGCTATTTGTTAAAGAATTCAGAACTAGGAATTAGCCAAAGAAAAGACTGTGTGTAGGCTGTTTTCTTGCACTGACATGCAGACTCTGCTATAGGAAGGAGGCAAACCTTCTGTTGCACTGTTGCAGAGATGTGTCTTTTTTTCTGAGTATGAGTGATAGACTGGAATTGGATGGTTGTTCTGCTCATAATTCATAGTGCAAAATGTGCTGGGATGTGCAGGAAATACCCAAGAATGTATCCTGAAAAACAGTAGAACTGTGATTCCTGATACCCATTCACCATTTTCTATTTATTTGCAGTCTGATCTTATCAGTATTGCCAATGGGCTGAACTGTCTCAAGCTATTAAATAACTGAAACCAAATCAGCACTTTTATCTAATAAAGCAGTGAATGCAGATTCTTTTCATGATTATTATTTAGTTTTATGATGTACCTTTATAATTGCAATGAAATCATTTCCACACCTGATTCTACAGCAGAGCGAGTCATAAAGTTTCCATCAAAACAATTCCACGTATTTTTCCAGCCTGCTTTAGTCTTTGTACCCTCCTTGGTGTTCTTTTTATACAAAAATTAGCTAACTCTGTTTATGTGTTACTGGGTAGTAACATAAAGGGTTAGGTGGTGTCTTGTGGTCCCTTCAATCTTAACTGTTCTGATTCTGTTGTAGGGATCATGTTGCAAAAATCCTATCTTAGGCCATGCTGTTGTGCAGTGGAGATGGTGTTGTGGTGTTTGGGAGGGATTTGTTGCCTGTTCTAATAGCAAATGAGCCCTAAAGACATAAAGCATCCTTTATTCTTTTGTAATTTCCTATCCCCAAACAAAAATCCCTTATCAGCTGTGTTTTGGTGAGGGCTGTTTCTTTAAAAGCAATTCATTTCAAGATTCATTTTGCTGCTGAAGAAAAAGTGAAGAGCAAAGCAGTTCTGGGAAGGCATGGTTGCTTTTGGCAGGTAATGTGCAAATGTGTGCCATGAGGTTTTGCTAATGCATTTCATTGCAGAACCTCATTAATTACTGCTCATCATGCAGTGCCTCTGCAATGTGCAAATGTTCAGCAGAGCTTTGTTGCAACCTGAAGCCACTCAACTGAAAGCCTCATCCATCAGGATGTAATGGTGGAAAGCATGTTTCCCACCTTTCTCCATTTCTTTCCAGTCATTTCTGCTTTTTTTTTCCTGTGTAGCAGCTTTGCTTTTGTATTCCCAGCTGATTAGCAGCCATGCCACGCTCATCTGGCCCAATTCTGAAGGATTGATCAGTGTTTGGTGTCTGCACACCTCTTCTGACAGAGCAGTTTTTCTTCCCTGCTCCTTTTTCTGTTCATATGATATGCTCTCCAGGAATGTCTCTCATCTTAGTGTCATCATGTAAATAAAAACGTAAGGATGATGCTTTAGCCTTTTCTGCTAAGATCTCATACTTTGTATAGCATAAGTAATTGCTTGGTAATATCAAGTTCACCATCACAAATACAGATTAATAGCTCTGGCTTTTTTTTTTTTGTAATGAGTCACAGTGCTCTGGTCATTTAGGGCAATTACCTCTGATTCATCATAGAAGTAAAAGCCTGATTTTCTGTTCTGAAGACACGTAACTTGGCATTATATCTAACGGGGTTGTGAATGCTGTTTGCATTAGTCAGATTCCAGTACATTAACATGTTCCTGTGTTAAAGCCATAGTAACTTCCTGCTTTATAGGCAAGTTTACAGAGCTGCCATTCTTCTGACAGTGGTTTCTCACAGCAGCAGGTCTGTTGCTCAGAAGTAGCAGCCTGCTTGCTAGCACCCCAGCTGATGGAGGGTCATATGTGCCTGCAGGAGGATGGTGAGAAGGTCATACTCCACACCTGCACTGTCTAAAGAAAACTCTGTTGCTAGCATCTATTTAAAACAACATGGTTTATTTTGAGACCTGAGTGACCATGGAGAGTTCAGGCACGGGGCTGAAGAAGAATGCAGGAACAAGGTGTTTACAGAGTTGTTTCCCTCCAGCCTTACATTTGGTACATGTTCTTGGCTCCTCTTTGCCATTTTGTTTGCTGTTTCACTGGTGAATCTGTTTGCTCAAGCAGGTACTATGAGAACAGTGCAGGCTGTGCCATCACCAAGCCCTGGTCTTGTCAGTGCCACAGAGCAAGGTGCTTAAGGTAGATGTGAGGGGCAAATTCTTCACTCAGAGGGCAGTGAGGCCATGGAGAAATGTTGCTGCCCCATCCCTGGAGATGCTACCTGGATGAGCCCTGGGCATCCTGAGCTGGTGGGGGGGCAGCCAGCCTACTGTGGGGAATTTGGGTGTCTTTAAGGTCCTTTCCAACCTAAACCATTCTATTGTACACTGAGGAGCTTGGAGGATGAACCCAGCATTGACCTTTGCACTGCATGCAGTCTTCAGCAGCAGCAGAGTGCTTGCTGGCACTCAGAAACACAGCCAGGAGTTTGTCATTTTAGTCCCTAGATTCAGCTCTTAAAGAAATGACACTGCCTTCACCTCTGAGGTCTCTTACAGCACTACCAGTCGCATGCCACCATCTCTCAGCGCTCATAGCAAAGCCTAGAGGTATTCAGCAGTGCTGCCCTGGGATTTATTGGCTTTAACCAAACAACACAGACGAGGCAGGCAGCGTGTGGTCAGCACTGCCATGCAGGGGGCTCAGCTCCACTTCCACAGCTGCCAGGGCGGCTGTGATCAAGAGCTCAGCGTGGGGGGGAAGGGAGTGCCCTGCCCTGCACTGCAGAGATCTTGCTGACTGATTTCAGAGCTGGGATGGGGGGCCCCAAAGGAAGCTGCACTCAGTTCTGAGCAGGAAGGAAAATGACTGCATGGAAGGGTGTTTAGTGCAACGGGTGGAAGACAAAGAGTGAATGCACTTCTGTGTTGGCTTGTGCCTGGGCAGTGGGGTGTGAGGGGCAATGTGCAAGTCACGAAGCATATCCCAGGATGCTTTTTGGCATATCTTTTCTTTTATAACTTTAATCCAGCATAATTATGTGGCTTACTGTAGCCATGTGAGCACTTGGATCGTTGAGCACTGTGCCTAATAGTGCACTACTGGGACAGCCACACGGAGGAGCCTGGCTGCACTTCAGTTACTTCTCTAAGTAATCAGAAAGCTCCTTCTAGCTCATGGCAATAATCCTCTGCTCAGGGGTTGTGCTCACTGCATGGCAGTGCTGAGGTTCTCTGCATGCTCTCTGTCTGGCTAGCACAGCTCTACCAGCTGATTTTTGTGTTTTCTGTTTGATAAAGGTGATTAGAGAGAGGCAGCAGCAGGTTACTGTCATAGACTGATCCAGAGGCCACAGCAAGGGAGTTGAGCTCCTCCAGAAAGCTTACAAGAGGGAATCTGAAAGGTTGGTTGTTTCTTTTTCTAGCCACTTTTTCAGCCACTACATCTGTTATGTACATATCCAAACTACATTTAAACTTTGTAGCTTCCCTACTGACCGTACTCTAACTTTGGTACAGGACTGATTTCAGCCTACCTGTCAAGCCTGTGCAAGTATTTTGGAGGAGTAATGTGCCCTGCAGCACTTTTATCCTTCCAAGTCCACTTGGATACTTAAATCTTGTTACTGCAGTACTGTGTAGTTGTACTAAGGCACCAGAATTAATCCAGTGTCACCTTTGGGCTGTTGGGAAGTGAAAGGATCTTTATGGAGTGGAGAGTCAAGAGGTGATTCTCACTTCTCCATCCCAGCAGCCTTGTGCTGTTAGTCCTTTTTTCACCTTAATTTCAGAATATAAATGAATTTGCAGCTTATATCCGGAGCAAAGCAGCAATGAGAGGCATGTCCTCAGTCCCCACGTGGCAGGTGTCTGTGCTGTCACTGGGTCAGCAGCTGTGACACAGGAACCTCTGCTCTGCAGCACGGGAAGCCAAAACCTTCCAGCTCCTCTGTGCCAGGTGCTCTCCCATGGCTGAAAGCCCTCAGGATGTTCCTGGCTGAGGGCAACCTGTGTTTGTTGCAGCGGACGCAGCACGTGGGTGACACCTGAGTGCAGTTGAGAGATGTGGTTTAATCCTCGAGAAAAAGGATGGTGATGGTTTTGTTTGTTTCCAGGCTAGAAAACAAAATTCCATGAGCTGCATTTCTTCTTCCAGATCAGGGCCAGATCAGGGCCAGCTTCCAGTGTTGCCTGCCATTGTGAACTGTTTGCTCAGGACTGACGTCTGCAGGGGTGCATAAGTCGTCATCCATAACCTGATTAGTCTGAGTTTGGATCTGGGACAGACTGCAGCAAAGCTAGAACAGGGATCAAAGGGTCCAGACCTCCCAGAACACTCTTACATTATATGACAGCTTTTTGTTTTGACTGATTTTGACCAAATTACTTTTTTTGCTGGATCCTCTTGTGCATGTCCAGAGCTGGACAGTGCTGTTAGTGTGGTAGTACTGAACACACATGAGTGCTGTAAAACACATGGCCACCAAGTTCCATGATCCAGTGTAGCTCAGTGGTAAATTCTTTCCTTTCCAAACGTTTGTTGCCTTTGGTACCTGCTCCCCTGTAATTGGAAAGCCATTTCCTGCCCTTTCATCCTCTGCCTGTCTGATCTCTGCGCGTCAGCGTAGCTGCTGGGGATTTTATCTATTTCTGTTCTCTTGTCTCATGTAGCTTTTGTCTTCATGCTTCCACTTCCTGAGCGTGCAGCTGGCCTGGGCTGCTAATCAACAAGGTCACATTTTGGTGCACGTTGCCTTTATGGGGGTGGGGGAAGAGTGGTTATTCTGGGGGAGATATGGATTTTCCAGGTCAGGAAGGAAAGATGAAGGCAGGGCCTTGCAGACCAGGTTTGTTTGGACAAAGGAGGATGAAGGCTGGGGCTGGGGGCAGGATTTGGGGTTGTCATCCCAGCTGCAGTGTGGAACTGCTGCTGCTTCATAGAATGGCCAGGGTTGGAAGGAGGATGATGAATCTCCAACCCACCTGCCCACAGGTAGGGCCACCAACCTCCCTGTTTAATGCTAGACCACTGCTTCAGTTTAGATATCACCTCTGTATGCCTCTATGTTTCTTTACCAATATCACATCAGAGGTTGTGAGAATTAAATATACCACATAAATATAGCAATGTAACACAAATAAACCACTAATGCTCGTTAGCCTTTGGAACAGTGGGTTCAAGTAGACAGAGCAGCAGCAGATAGTACAAAATAGAGTGCACTTTGCTGCTGTTAACACACTGAAAGCAGCGTGCTGATGATCTGCTGCAGCAGTTCAGCTTTCTTAGACACCTGCAAAGGTTTTGGGGATGGGGGGAGTTGGAAAACCATAGTGGTTTTATTTGAGCTATCTTCATATTGCTTGATAGATGGATAAATAGACGTATTTTGTATGTATAGCTGGATGTTTCTGCTCTGCCTTTGCTTCCAAAGTACAAAATGTTTCAGCAAACTCCCAGTATTCAACCATTAATGTGAGCAGAAAGGAGTTAAGCAGCACAGGACGCATCTTTGGAGCTTTCAGCCTCAACGTGTGTCCTGCTGCCTTCACACAGCTGCCTCCTTTTCCTTGCTGTAAGGAATGAAGTCACCGCACCCGCAGGGCACGGATCTCAGCTGTGTTTCCTCTCTGATGCGTGTCCCAATGCCGGTGGTGCTCCTGAGCCATCCCCAGGGCACGGAGTTGGGCATGGCATCACCTCCGGGCAGCAGCTCGTGGTTTGGCTGCTTCCTGGGAGGAAAGGAAAAGGAAGGAAAGGGAAGGTAGGAAGGAAAGGGAAGGCAGGAAGGAAAAACAGCTGCTGGTCACAAGTTCCATTTGTGCGAGGGAAACAAAATAAATGGAAATAAAAGGGAAACACGAATCAGAAGAGCAAGGTTCGTTCAGAAGGGCAGAGCCGGGAGGAGCAGCTGGAGGATTTTATGGTGGGTTTGGTACCGACGGCTCTTCCCCGAAGCCTTTGGGCTGGCAGAGGTCTGAGCAGCAAAGCGGCGTTCGGGCCGGGTCGGTGCTTTTGCGTCCCAAACGGCGAGGAACCGCGTGAGCTCTCTAATTAACAATGCCTCGCTTAATTGATGCGAGCTCTGTAATTACGAAACCCCCTTCGGGTTGCGGTCGGCAGCACGGCGGGCTCCAGGTGGGCTCGGCGTCACGTGACTTAGGCCACGCCCACTTTTCCCGGGTTGGGGGGCGGGGCTTCAGCTCGGTGCGTGGGCAGCGCGCCCCTCCCCGCCGCGCATGGGCACGGCTACGGGCAGCGCCGAGCGGTGAGACGAGACGGCGGGCGGAGGGGAGGGAGCCGCGAAGCCCCGCGGGGATCCCGTGCTGGAGGGCGGGGGGTCGGCCGAGCTCGCTGTTGGTAGTGGGAGCCGTCGTGTTTTCCGCGGCGTGGGGGGGAAAAACGGCTGTGAGCGCTGCGGGGTTTGCGGCATCCCGGCTGGGGGCTGCGCGTCCTCGGCCATCCGGCACCGCACCGAGGCTGGGAGGAGCGGCGCGGCGGCTGTTGACGTGTCGGGCTGCGAAGGAGGATGCTGCGGGATGAATGAGGCGTTGTGCTGCGAGAGCCAAAGAATCCCTTTTTCTTTTTTTTTTTTTTTCCTTCGGCGTGTTTCAGGTGAAAGCCGGGTTTTTGGAGAGGAGAGTCCAAATGCCAGCTCCTTCCCTGCAGCCTGCTCGCCTCAGTAAGTAACCTTAACTGGGAGCTGCTGTTACTTTAAATAAGAACTCTCCGGTGCCTTATGCTGTAAGGTGAGAAATTTCTTTTGGAAGAGGACGGCGGTGACACTTGGAACTCATTGGTAGTGCTGGCAGCTTGGCAGGGAGCAGAAAGCAGGCTGGAACGGAGCAAACGCCTGCAGGAGCTGTCAGGCTCGAGTTCTGCAGAGGAAAAGTGCCATTGGAGAAAGTAACAAAGCCGTGAGAGTAAGAAGAGCTGGAATGTATCACCCCTGAAAGCCAACCCATCTCACAGCTCTCCTCTGCTTCCTTTAAGCTTCTGTTTTATTCAGTGATCTTTGCCTCATCTGTTTTCCTCTCTGCCTTGTGTGCTCCATCACAACAGCTGTGCTGCTGGAAGAAAACCTGGAGGAAGATGTGCTAAAGCCTCGCACGTCAAAGAGGAGAAGCTTGGATCCTGCCTTGGTGGCTGTGTACCTCCCAGTGCTGGAAGGAAGGAGGACAAGGAAGAACTTGCTGTAGCTCCCAGGTCCTGCTGTGTTCTCTGCTGGCTCAGCTGTTGGTGTCCCCCATTCCTGGACTTTGCTTGATGGGGATCTCTGCTGCGGGAGCAGTCTCTGCACTCAAAGGCAGGAGAGCAGAGGTAGGAGAGGTGGCCTCTAAATGCTGGAAAGGCCATTTGTGTAAGCTCCTGGCAGAAGGTCTCTTCTGGAACAGCTGCTGGCTGTAGGCCCACCAAGCTGAGGTTCAGGATAGCCTCTCTGCAGCATGTCTTCCAAGCCAGAACAGAAGGAGACCCACCAGGCCAATGGGGCCGTGCTGCCTGCCGTGCCCATGGACTGCCTTGTCAGTCCGGACCGGGGGCAGCTGGTGGAGCCCTCCAATTTCCTGGGACCTGATGGTGTCGGGGTGGAAGTGGTGGTGCTGGAGTCCCGTGCCAATGCTAAAGGTGTGCGAGAAGAAGATGCCCTGCTGGAAAATGGCAGCCAGAGCAACGAAAGTGATGACACCAGCACAGACAGAGGCCCTGAGCCAGCCTCACCGCTCAAGGAGACCTCCTTTTCCATCGGGCTGCAAGTCCTCTTCCCCTTCCTCCTGGCAGGCTTTGGGACAGTTGCTGCTGGAATGGTGCTGGACATTGTGCAGGTAATACTAAACCTCTGTGGTGTGGTGCTGGGCTCTGAACCCCATCTTGGTAGGCTTGATCCTAAGCTAGGGGGTATTTGAATTGCAGGGTTAGTTTGGCACATAGCAGCTACAATGGGAAGACTTGTGTTTCCTTGCATGGCAGTTGAGGCAGACCTCAGTGGTGCCTGGAGCAAGGGAAGGAGCCCTTTGGTCACCCTTACACACTGCAGCCCTGCTCCAGCTCTTAGGACAAGGTCATGGCTATCAAATGTGCAGCCAAAGGACCTATCTGGGAACTGATGCACATTCCTGCTGGGAATAATGTGGTAATCATCCCCTGATGATGACCATCATCCCAGCCCTGCTCCACAGTTCCCTGGGTCCTGTTTCCTGTTGCTGCCTGTGATGTTTGCTGTACTGTTTCAGCACGCTGGGCTGGTGCCAGCTGGGTTAATGATCCCTGTGCTGCAGTGGATGCAGGACACTTGCTGGTGGCTTGCTCAGGCTGAGTGACCCTGCTCTGCCTTCTCAAGCAACCCAAGAGCAACTGGGCTAACAGGATTCCTCCTGAGAACTGTGTGAAGCTGATTCGTAGGAAAGACCAGCCAGAGAGTTGGCTGATACCTCCAGCTGCAAACTGTTGTGTTTCCAGACATCTTAGGTGTTTCGAGGTGGGTGGCACTGTGGGAAGTACACAGCTCACTTCAGCTTTACGTGGGCAATGTGCTGACTTACCAGGCCGTGTCTTTCAAGCATGGAAATCCAAGCAGGTGTCTCTGGCAGCTGATCAGCTGCTCACCCCCTCCTCCTGTGCAGAGTTCCTCGTCCTGATGCCCAGCACAAAGCAGTGAGTGAGGCACAAGGTTTGATCAGCAGGCAGGTGGTGCCACGTTGGAGCTGCAGTCAACCAAAATTTGTTTGATGCTCTCTCATTTACTCAAATAATATAAACAAGCCCTTGCAGTGTTGACAGAAAAAGACTTATGTCAGTCACTTGTGTGTGTATTGATGGCAGTGATGTTTATCTGCACCTGAGCTGTGTGCCAGCAGGTCTGTTGTGTGAGGCAGGCTCTTTCTCATTTGTGCAGGTTGTCAGGCAGGCATTTCTTTTGCTATTTTGCCCCAGTGGCTGCTCCCTGCATGCCTTAGCACACTGGTCATCTTTACAGTTTCTCCTGATGCAACCTGCTGGGAAAGTTGTGAAGCATGAGTTATGCCTCAGAACAGGAAGGGCTGGCTGTGCTAAATTAAGCCAGAAGAAATTTACTAGAATAGATTCCTTGAAAAGAGAGAAATTTCAAGCGTGTCGTCGTTTGAAAAGTCCCTGTAAGCTCATGTTTGGCTCTTCTGGCAATTTCCTAGACCAGGGCTTTGAACACAGCCCCAGGTCCTTCCTGGAGGAGGAACAGCCCTCCTGACAGGGAAGGGGAAGGTCTGGGTGGGATACTGTGGCATACTGCTGTGCTCTCCTGCCTTTTATTTACGGCCATTAGAAATAAAGCTTCATAATTCCTCTGTTCCACAGCAGCTCAGCATGTAGCTACGCAGCGTGTCCTGCCAACTCCTTTAACTCCCTTTAGCCTTGGGATTAAATGAGGCATCTAAATGCCATAGGGTGGAAAGGGGAGGAGGGAAACGTGTGGTCTCAGCTTGTCTGCCTGTGGAGTTTGGGGAGCTGATCTTAAGAACTGGCTTCCCAGAGGCTCAGAGCCTTGGGGAAGGAGGCAGTGAGCTGCTGGGGGCAGGCAGGAGTCCCATTGCTTTGGATGGAGCCGTGGTTTGTGATGGATGGAGGGCTCCATGCACTCAATTTGCTCCACTTGAGACAAATGGAGTAATCAACCAGCTGTAATTGGTCTCCTCAGTGTGAAAACAAGCAGCCCTGGCCTCTGGCCACATTGTCCCATTAATGTGTCCCTATTAATTTGTTTCTGCTCCCTTTGGGTTTGGAGACCTACACGTGTGCCACCTGCTTCTCTGTATACAGCAGGGCACTGTTGGCACAGTCCCCTCTCCCTGCAGAGCTTCAATTGTTGTTTTCCAGACTTGCCTGTTCCCTGGAGATGCTTTGGATGGGATTGAATATGGAGGAGGGACGCTGCTCATTCCCCATTTGGCCACCTGTGGTGTTAGCATCCCCCCTGGGAACAGTGGGGAATGCTGAGCCTCGCTCCTTCATCCAGGTCTGGCCCAATTCTCATCGCTGTGCTGTTGTGCAGAATTTCAAACTGAGTGCTGTGGTCGAGAGGGTGATCCTGGAAGAATCTTGCATGACTCCTCACAGCATCTGCTGTGCCCGGTGCTTTCCTCCTCCCCAAGGAGCACAGAGCTCAAGCTCTCCTGGCAAGGCTGTTTGTCTCTTCGGGGCAGTGGGAGGGCCAAGATGCAGTGTGCTGAGGCAGTGATAGCTCTGACCTGCTGCTCCACAGCACTTCCTTCCCTCTGAGCTGTCCTGAGTCACCATCCTGCTCCAACCCACGATGCTGCTGCGTGCCTTAACCCCACACACAGCAACTGAACGCAGCAGAGGCCAAAAAGCAGCTGTTGTCCTGGAAGTATCTGATGCCTGCAGGTGCAAAGCCTCTGAAACGCAGCAAGCCTGGAAGAACAGCAAAACACCACCTGGGCTTGATGCTGGAGCCCAGTGCCTCTGCTGGGCAGATGGGGATGAAGTAAGGCAACCCATGTGAGCTGTGCTGTCTGCTCCTCTTATGGGGCTTGTGAAGTGGCTCTCCTGTAAGTGCCCTGCAGGAGCCAGGAGGCCTTTGAGACGTACAAAGTGCCCATAGAGCAGTGTTGTGTAACATCTTATATTAAGCACGTTGGCAGGAGCCCACAGGTCCTGCTCTTTGCAGTAAGCGAGCTGCTGATGTCTGCAGAAATCTTCTTGTTTTCTCTCCCCAAAGATGCCTTTTTTTTCCTTTCCCCTCTGTCTTACTCAGTTACAGCAGCTCCTGGCACTGGTTTGCAGTGCAGCCTCCTGTAAAGGTTAAATGCACGGCTGGCACTGGGATGAAGTGCAGAGGGCTGCAGCCCTTTGCTGGCTATTGCCTGACCCTATCGTGCCCCTGTGGTCTGCCTGGAGGAAGGAGAAGCCAGGCAGGTGTTGCACAGCACTTCCAGCCTGTGGTCAGACTAACGGTAGTGTTCCTTTCGTTAAGTGATTCTGACACCCAGCTCATCCTGCTGCAAGTGGGAGCGTGGTGCCACACGGATTGAATTCCAGGTACTGCGCAGGGAAGTCGTAGTAAAGGATTTGCCAATTACAGCAAGCAGCAAGATAATTGTAATGACTGCTATGCCTGCCTAAAAATAGTCTGAGGAGAGCAGAGCTCGCCTTTCCTAGGTGTGACCTTAAAGGAAGCACAGCCTGGTGTGCTGCTGTGCCAAAGGAAATCTTTCAGACTGATTCTCCCTCCTCTGTCTGCTCGGTGGTGGGTGCTGCAAGGAAGCATCCCTCTGCACTGCTGGCTGGGATGGCTGTGCAGAGATGTAGCTTTTAGGGCACCTCTGGCTTTGGGCAGGAGGTCTCTGGGGCTCAGGCTCACTGTGTGCAAACAGTTCAGAGGCTGCAGGGTTTCCTTGGGCACTGCCCATAGCAGCAGCTGGGAGAGAATTTGCTTCAGGAGGAGGTGAGTGTCTGGAACCTGCTGTCCTCAGGCAGTGGGGAGCTCTGAGGAGTGCCTGGAACAGCTGAGCAGCTTCCATCCCTGCACTGTTGGCTCTTCTCACTGAGCTGTCAGATGTGCTAAAAAGGGGACTGGGAAGCAGTTTTCCCTTTAAGGAGAAATGGTCTCAGTTCATCCTTCTCAAGTGCTTAGCAGCCTCCTGTGATCACACATCTCTCTCTGGCTGTTCTTCCAATGCTTGCAGCTTGAGCATGGTATTGGAAAGGACCTGGCAGGAAGCTGGAGCTTGTTGGCTTTTAGTGTCCCAGAGCTGGAGGCGAGCATCACAAAGGATGGAAAAATAAACAAAAATAACTGAAGTCTTTCCCAACAGGAAGGTGTTAGTCATGCAGGTAGTGAGCTTTATTTTCTGTAAGGTGTTGGCTGGTAGTGTTCCTTGTCCTAGAAGGAATTCTACATCCTTTTGGGTACTCAGCCTGAGCAGCACTGCCAAGGGGGGAGCTGAGGACACAGAGCCCAGTGCAGGTAACAGAGCAGGAAGGAAACTGCAGCTGCCAACGTGCTCAGCACAGGAGACAGCTTCTGAACACAGCATTCCAGCAGCTTCCTCTGAAGGGGATGCCAGTTAGGCAGTGTGGGAAGCAGGGGTTATTTTGGACGCAGTCTTCTTGCAAAACACTCATGAAAATAGGGAATTAAGCAGAGTGGTTTGAACAGCCTGCATTATTTATTTATTTTTTAATGTGGTTGTGAGTTTTTGGGGATGGTTTCATGTTTTCTGGGAAGCCGGCTGCTCTCCTGTGAGACTGCATACCCTATTATTCTGTTAGGGTTTTTTTTTTTCCTAAAAAACTATGGCTGCCTGCTGTGTCTTTTGTCCAGAGAAACTGACTCTGCTCTAGAGCCAGGGAGGATGGCAAATACCTGCAGGTGTGATGAATGTGCCAGGTAGAGGGAGGGCACACACCTCTGGGAGAGCATCGTAGGATCATACAATGCCTTAGGTTGGAAGGGATCTTAATAATCATGTGGTTCCAACCCCTCTGCAGTGGAAGTGGGAGCAGAGACAGCAGTGAGCCACTGGGCTCCCCAAAAAGCTCCCCCAGTTTGGGGCTGGCAGCATCAGGGAGCTGCAGTGCTGTGCTCTGCGAGGTGTTTGGAAGAAGCTCATATGATGAGTGCCTCTGGGCAAACTTCAGTACAGGATTCTGCCAAAACCAGTGTGTGTTGGGCAAAGCTTCTTCCTCTCTCCCTGTTCTTGGCCTCTACGTGCGTAAGTGTTTTGTCAGCAGTTGAGCTTTAGGGGATTTTGAACTGAAAATTGCAGGCTGAGATCCTGTTTGTAAGCTCAGCAGGAACCATGTGGTCACTACTACGTAAATGTCAGAAGCAGTAACATTGCTGGAAAGTGTGGCACCAGAACTGGAAGTGAAACTGAGTCATCCACTCAGGGCTGCACGCAGGCAGTGCCAGAGTGCAAAGGCAGTGGAGGAGGTTCTGAATCCAAAGCAAAGGTTTCTAACAGCTGTGATTATTATTTTTTTGTCTTTTTTTTGTTTCAATCTTGCAGCACTGGGATGTCTTCAAATACGTGACCGAGGTTTTCATCTTGGTGCCTGCACTACTGGGTCTGAAGGGGAACCTGGAGATGACGCTGGCATCTCGCCTGTCAACAGCTGTAAGTATCCAGGGCATGCTGAGGAGCAGGATGTCTGTTTTTGGGGAGGCAGGAAGGGATGTGCACGTGCATATGAATGCAGTGACCACCCAAAGGAGAGGTTGGAGCTGAACTGTCTAGCCAGGTGTTTCCATCCCATTTGACTGATCAGATTTAAAGGCTCAGTAGTCCTTAAGCTTTGCTGACAGTTCACTTCCTTGTCAGGACTGCTCGTGCAGTGCACAAAAAGGCTTTGGCAGTTTAATACCTGGAGTGTTTGGATCTGGTTTCGTTTACAAGGAAGCTGGGTGCAGGCATGCGACCAGAGCACACAGAGCAGGCCAAAACAAGCCAGGTTCAGCAGGGCTGGGAGATGAGAGCCTGCAGAGAGTTGTACAGCAAAGGCTGAAATGGAGGAGAGCTTGCAGATAGAGTTGTTAGGTGGATTGACAGCCTCTTCAAAATGATGGAGAGGAATGGCAGGGCATTTCTCTTGCTAGAACTCAGTCTGATTCTCACGTAACAGTGAGCTCCCTATGAGAAATGGAGACAGGCTCTGTTAGCTCCTCAGAATAGTGTCTTAGTCCAGCTCTAAATGAAATGCTTTGTGTTTAAACGTTTCTGTAACACAGCAGTCTCTCTGTAGCTGAGCAGAACTGGAGAGAGGCATCTTCTTTTAACAGGGACAGTAATACTCCTTCATCTGTAAAGCATCTACTTGAACGTGACAGCAAGTGACAGCCTGATGTTTCTGTGGGTCCCATGGTGAGCGTGTAGCTTTGAATCTTACATCTGCAGGGTGTTAGCTACCTGCTGCTGAGTGTTCACCTCTACTGTTTCTGTGCTGGGTAGTGCTGGAAGAGAGCCCTTGCAGCAAGAGCCTGGGCTCAGCCTTGGCACTGCAGATGAAGAATTGCCTGTCTTGGGTGGCAGCAGCAAGCACAGCTAGCAGAACTGCTCCTTATCATGCTCCCTTTCCTCTTTTTGGTTGCTGCGGGAGAAAGCATAGAGAAGCACAGAAGAGCTCTCTGCATATTTGTTCCTCTGGCTTCTCTTTCTTCCATCTTAAGCAGTGGGGTGATCCATGCTGAGACTCTTGCTCCTCAGTACCTTCTAAGTCACTGAACCAGTGGCACATGGGCATGATTTGCCCTTGGCTTGGCCCCAGCACTGCTGGGGACCACCTCCACCTGGGAACAGCTTCCCTTGGTGCTGATCTCCTCTCTCCAGGTGTTACTGGAGAGAACAAAGCTGCTGTGCTGCTGCACCAGAGCTTGCAGGGTCAGGCTGAGCGCTGCAGCTTGTGGCAGGCTGAGCTTTGTTTGCTCCTTCATTCTCAGAAACAAATCCCTTTGTTTTATTCATTCCCCTATTGTTCAGATCATGTCAGAATCCTCACTGACCCGAACACAGGCCATTTTCCTTCTTGGCCTTGGCTTGGCCTTGGCCAGCTGTCAGAGCACACTTTAAGCATGGACTGATCAGGGTGAGTGCTTAGCTCTGCTAGGACTAAGATAGATAGCAAAGTTTTTCCGCAGCCTTGGTTTTCTCCATCCCCATCCCTGATGAGGTTGGCCCAGAGCAACCCCAAGGCAGCTTGGTGGGGAAATGAGACTGCCCTGGCTGCGTGGAAAGTCGCAGGAATGCAGAACTTTCTCCCATCTGCTCTGGTGGCTGCAGCAGAGTCACCAGGAAACTGGCACAGAGAGCATCCCTCCAGTTCACACGCCTGTCCTGCCTTTATCCCCTGCTTTCCTTCATCCCATGAAGGTTGTGCTGCTTCTGTGTGAATCTCCCAGCCTTGCACACCACTCCCTTGTATTGATGCATGATGGGGTTTGACAGTCTCTTTAGTTTTCCCTTTTTTCCCATGGGGAGTGGGCTCTCCTCTGGGCAGTGCTTCACGATGCAGTTCTCGTGCTCTCTCCGCAGGAAAGCAGACTTGGAAGGATTTCTGAGATTGTGGGTTTCTAATTAGTGCTGCATTAAGTCACCTCAGAAGTTCCTTTCACAATTAAGAAGCAAAACTCTCCCATTAAGTTAAAGGATTAAAATCCTGTTGCCAGTGACTACAGCTAGGTTATGTTAATCCCAACCTAATTGCCATGTGGCAGGAATGTTAAGGTCAGGCTTCGTATGGAGCTCAGATTCCTGTGCTGGATGTGCTCAGTGCAGCTCTGTAGTCAAGGTTTTGTTTTTCCCCTTTCTTTCTTCCCCTCCCCTAAACCAACCAGAAGAATTGACTCTGGAGATGGGCATATCTGAGTGATGGTGGACGTGGTGTGGCAGCTCTCTGAAGTGTGTTTGTGGTAAGGAGAGCACGAGGGTTGGCTGATCATAGATTTCTTTCTTTGTGTAGACCAGGAAAGAAAACTTAGAGGCAGGAATTGCTGCTCTATTGTTTGTCAGAAGTCTGACACTTTCAGCCAGTGACTCCATCGTGCAACAAGTTCACATTTCTTGAGCCTCTCCCTTATGATTTCATTAGTGACAAACTTGTTTTTCCCTCATGTTCATCAGCTTTGAATGCTACAAGATTGGATACAGGCACAATCTCTCTGCCTGTCCTTCTTTCCAACTCACTGTGAAGACCAGAAGGTGCTGGGGAGAGCAGAATTCCTGTGTTCTGCATAAGCTGCAACCTGCAGGGATTCTGCTGGGTTTTGTTTGGATTGTATGCCAAGAAATTAAAGCAGCTTTCCTTCTGTTCTGGTTATTCTGATTAGCATCTCCTGTAGTGATGCCAGATGACCCGTGTGCCATGGCTGCTTCCTGCTACTCAGTAGGTCTCCACGTGGCACTGGCCTTGTTTACTCAACTTTTATCCCCAGCAGTTCTTGCTGCCAGCTCCTTGTGCCCACGTGGTGCTGCTCTGGCCTTGTCCCATGTCAGAGCTGGGGGCACTCAGATAGCTGACCTGGGATCTGTGCAACCCCTGCTTCTCTCCTGGCTGGCCAAATTGAGGGGTAGTGTGACCCAACTGGGCCTGGGCCAGGCTTGGCTTCATCACCACTGAAGTAAATTCAAGCAGCAGTGCGTGGCTCTGTGTGAGGGCAAAGTGTATCTTGTTCCTTTTGCAGGATTTTCATCAGAATTTCTATTGCTGTTGATTCTACCTTACGCTCCCTTCAAAATTCCTTCCTTAGTGCTCTGCTCTTGCTGCATAGGAGTGTGTCAGCCCACTCTTGTTGATGCAAAGAGGTGTCAAAGCTGAAACTGGAAACAGCTTTGGTGTGCTGGGCAACAAAGCCAGGCTAACTGTTGGAAGAGCTACGGGTTGTTGCTCAGACTGTGTAGCCCACGTGGTACTTACAGAACTGCGTGCCCCAACCTTGGTTGTTACTACAGAGATGTACCCTGGCTGTGCATCTGTGTGCACGTGGACACACATGCCTTTGCTGCTAAATTGCTCTGCTATGAGAGGTGAGGATTTGCAGTCATTATTCTCTCCTGCTCCTGGCACAAACCTGCATAGCTGAAAGGCAGGAATCTGACAGTTAGCAAGTGCGAAATGCCATCCATCTTTTAATGTTCTAATGATGCCATGATGTCTTCTTGCAGGCTAATATTGGCCAAATGGATACACCCAAAGAGCTCTGGAAGATGATAACAGGGAACATGGCTCTGATACAGGTAAGAAAATGGGAAAGAAAACATGGGAACGCTGGTAGTTGTTGAAGTCCAACTTGAAGAGGTGTCAGAAGGCTTGAATGTCTTTTCTTAGGTATTGACTTGGGTATTCAGTATTGCATGTCTGGTGGGGAAACAAATGGCACCTTATTATCCCATAGTCACATTACCATAGCAGTTTGCCCTGAAGTTTGAACTCGGTGTTTCCTTGCTGAATGCTAACCCACCTGAAATAGTACCCCAGCACCATTTTGCCTCAGTCTTCTTGATGATTATTTTGTTTTTATTTTCAGGTTCAGGCTACAGTAGTTGGCTTCCTGGCTTCGATTGCAGCAGTGATATTTGGATGGATTCCAGATGGGCACTTCAGCCTTGACCATGCTGTCCTGCTCTGTGCCAGCAGTGTGGCTACTGCTTTCATTGCTTCCCTTGTTCTGGGTAAGAGAGATATCATGTACATTCTCCATACACCTCTTCCTAACGTGCTGGGCTCTCCTTGCCTTCATCCTATTTTCTTCCTCTTTTTTTGCTGCAGGCATGATCATGATTGGAGTCATCATTGGATCCAGGAAGATGGGAATCAATCCTGATAATGTAGCCACACCAATTGCTGCCAGCCTGGGGGATCTCATCACCCTGGCTCTGCTTTCAGGAATCAGCTGGGGCTTGTACAAAGAGTTGGGTGAGGAGCAACAAAAGGCTTTTGTCTCTCCCTGGTCCTTGTGTCTGCTGCAGTGTCTCCCTTGAGTTTCACCCTGTTCCTTTACCCTTAATCCTTCTGGGGCTTCAGAGTGCCGGGAGCTTGGTAGGGCTAAAACAGTGGAGGAAGGCAGCTTTGGTTGTAATCTTGTGTACTGTCAGCACCAGCTGGGGGTTCCTCAATGCAGGGTTGCAGCTGTGTGCTGTAGATTTCCTCCTCCCTTTCCTCCACTCTCCTTCCCTGGCAGCAGGGATGCAGAGGATGTGACTCAGCCAGGTTCAATCAAAGGTGAAGCATTGCTGGGAGGTCTCACCCAGGAGTGGGAAGTAGGAAGGAGCAGTTAGGAAACTGAAGAGGTTTCACTAAGCAGATGGATCAGGAGGAAATGCTGGCTCTTGTTTGTATGTTTCTGACTCTGGGGATGGCAGCTCTCTGCTGACAGGGGTGATGAGCTCAGCTGAAGTAGCACCACACTTTACTGCTGCAGGATGTGTCCTTGATTTGTTGCCTTTGCTTATTTTCCCCCTCAGAGAGCAAAGCATACGTGAATCCTTTGGTGTGTGCCTTCTTCATAGCTCTGCTGCCCATCTGGATCATCATTGCCAAGAAGAATGCAGCGACTCGGGAGGTGCTGTACTCTGGCTGGGAGCCAGTCATTATTGCAATGGCAATTAGCAGGTAGGAAGGTGTGCAAGAGTTCTTCTCCCTGAAACACACACAGAAAATGCCCCTTTTTCCCCCAGCCCTTCCAACCTATTCACGCTTGACAGATTCCAAAAGAAGATGGAGAACCAAACTTCTCCTTTCACAGTGGCCTCTGCCAGGAAACTGGAGGTCACGTTGTGTTTTCCAGACAAAGACACTGGGATTGAGGCCCAGGGATATTGAGCACCTGACTGCTGGAATCCAAGGCCTCAGCAGTGTGCCTGCTGCTGCACAGCTGGCACGGCTGCAGATCCTGTCCAGCAGTCCTCACAGGAGCCTTCTTTGCTCTCTGAAGGGCAGGACTGCTGTTGATTACTGTGTAGCAGTAAGCTTTACGTTGGGGGATAAAGACTGTGCTAAAACTTTGTTTTGTTACCAAATATCAAGGCCTAAAACCACACAACTACACTTGGGGTAGTTGCACAGGTTGGGTGGATACATCACCCAGTGCATACACTGCAGCAGAGAGGACCTGCAGTGCTTTGTGTGCTGCCTGATGAGCTTTCAGCACTGACCTCTTCGTTCTTCCCTTTGCAGTGTTGGGGGTTTAATTCTGGACAGAACAGTCTCAGATCCAAACTTTGCTGGGATGGCTGTCTTCACACCAGTTATTAATGGTAAGCTCCTTTCTGTGCTGATATTGCAGCTCCGATGGTTCTTGGCAAGTACTGAAATTGGCCTCTGCCTCAGTGCAGGCAGATTAAGGAGGCTAATTCTGCTAGATCACCAGTGAGATGAGGTTAGGCCCAATCTTTACAGCAGCATGGCTTCTCCTTCAGCAGAGGGTAACAGGTCCGGGGGGGGCTATTGCTGAGAGAAGCTTTCCAAATCTGAGCCACAACAAGAGCTGTGTTTGTTTTCCGCTTCCTTCTGGCTGGTGGAAGACCCCTGATCCAAGATACAAGCCCTGCAGCACTCAATAACATAAGGATTTGGGTTTGCAACTTGAGTCAGGAAATCTAGTTTGTTCTGGAATGAAGCTTTGACCTCCTTTCTGCCTAATGAACCAATGGAACTCTGTTGTGTACTAGTTCTCAGCCTTGCAATAAATTGAGTTAATTCTGCAGCAGCGCATCTTTGGGTTGGTGAGTTCCAGAGTTTCACTGGTGGTCTTGCAAAATGCAGCAGCTTTTAAACTTCCCAAGTGTGTTTCAGTGACCAACTCATGTTTGTTTCACAAATTCTTTCCAATCAAAACTGCTATGATAGAATTGTATGTATTTTACTAGGAGACCTTGGGGGATACTGCAGGACTGCATTCTTTGTCTCAGCTCTTTACATCCTGCAGAAGTGGAGTTTGTGTCAGAAATAGGCTGTCTTGCACTATCCCAGCACCTGGCAGCTCTGGTTGTGCTGGCTGCTGAAAATGGCTTTCAAATGGGATTGAAATGTTGCCTTATTGTACTCTCCTTATCTGCAGGTGTGGGTGGCAACCTGGTGGCAGTGCAGGCGAGTCGCATCTCCACTTACCTGCACATGAGTGGGATGCCTGGAGAGACCCCTGAAACAGCCCCTCGCAAATGCCCCAGCCCTTGCAGCACCTTCTTCAGCTCAGGTACTCAAGTTATGGCTTGAAATGTGTGGAGTTTTGCCAGCAGCAGTTGCTGCAAATGGCTGGCAGAGCTTGGCTGCAGCCGTCACTGGAGCACTGTCACAGGAAATGGTGGCTGAGGCTCAGAGGCAGCTGTCAGCTCCTGGATGTCTGCTCTTCTGGCCTGGCCTGCCCTCTAGAGACGAGTGGACCTTTAGCAAAGCTGCTGTGCGAGAGGACATATCCCTGCTGGATTAGGAAAACACGTTGCCAAAGTCTCATGCCCTGACTGTGTAATGCTGTAAATCCTCCACCCAGTAAATCTTTTCCAGATGTTCAGGATACCTAAACCTGCCTTGAAGCTGCTTGAGTGTTACAGGTCTGCTGGGCCTATAGAGCTACTGTTACAGAAAATTAGCTTGCATGTGCTTCTTAGCCCTGCTGTTTGTAGCAGTTGTGTAGCAGAGAGCAGCCAAACCTGCATTCCTACATAGTGTGGGGAGAGGTAGTTGTACTCCAGATTGCCTGGGGGAGGTTTGATACTCCATAGCCTGGGTTCTGGCCTTCTGATAGAAGGGAGATCCGATGTGCTCTGTTCGTGTGTACCAGCTGTAATCTGCAGGGTTTGGAAGCAGAAAGGGGGGGAGATCTCTAGTGTGGTGATCACCTGTCAGAAAACTGATCTCCAGACAAGGTGCAGGCACAGCTCCAAGGAAATTCAGTGTTCATGGTGGACTCCTGGCAGCTTGGAACTTAGTGCTGTCAGAGGTGGGACGAGTCCTTTTGGCAGCTGGGCTTTGGGAACAGCTTTTGCTCTGGGGGCAGAGTTAAGCTCTCCTACCAAATTTGATGGAGTCTTTGTTCATGCTGACACTTAAGTCAGCATTTGGGGTGCTGTTTTCCAGCCTAAATCTGGAGTGCAGGGATGAGAGTCCAGTGCTCTGCTGTCTGCTTTTGCTTTGCCCACAGCTGTAGGTAGGCTGCAGAGCTGCTGTGTTCCCATCCCACTGAAGCCTGAATTCCACCTTTGTTTCCCAACAGATGTGAATTCCCGCTCTGCCCGTGTGCTCTTCCTTCTGGTTGTGCCTGGACACCTCGTTTTCCTTTACACCATCAGCTCCATGCAAGGTGGACACACTACACTCACCCCTATTTTCATTGTTTTCTACATGACAGCTGCACTTCTCCAGGTGAGCTGAAGCCCCTCTGGGGGGCTACAACTGCTCAGGCTGCAGTAAGGAACACTGCCATGCCACCTGCAGCATGGAGCTGCTCTGCCAGCTGTTGGAGATGCATTGCTGAGGGATGTGTGCTATCCCCAAGAGGTCTCTGCTGTTTCCTTCTTCTGTGTTAATCTATTCTATAAGGTGCTTTAGTAATTTGAAAACTGCTGGTGAAGAAAGCAGGCTGTGCAGTTTGCAGGACCTCCGTGCTCGTGGCTCTTCCTGCCCACATGGGGAAAGGGCCTGGTGCTCCTGCTCCTCTCACAGCAGCTGTGTGAGCCCATGGGCAGCGGTTGTTGTGAAGGATGTGCACAGACCCAGCTGCTCCTGCTGCAGAAATGCAGCAGCTGTTTGCACGAGCAGTTGTCTGTGTAGGAGGGAAGGGAGAGCTGCTCTGGTTGGGGAGTTTTGTACAAAGCCTGGCCATGCTCCCTCTGCTCGCCCCATGGTTTTGGTGTCCTCTAAAATCAACAACTGAAACTGGCTTGAGGAAATGAGTCAGAGCATCCATCAGAGACAAGAGCAGGGAGCTGTCATCCAGGAGGCTAAATTTAAGTTATGAGCTCCTCCTGGCTGCCTGGGCTCGAGGAGGGGGATTCTGCTCACAGGTGCTCTGTGAAGCCACAGTATGAGCAGCATGCAGGCTGGGGGGCACTGGGCTGTGGGGTTCTATGGTGCTGCTGCTCTGCCCTCCCAGCCCTGAGCAACCACCAGAGGTGGTGGCCAGAGGTATGTAGCCTCTTCCAGACCCTGTCCCAGACCTGAGGCTTCAGAGGATCCAGTGTGGATTTGTGCTGTCTTTAAACACTGATATGAAGGAGGTAGGGAGAACGTCACACTCTGGTAGCTTCAGCTGCTGGGAAGCTGCTCTTTATCCCTGGGATCCAGATGTTGCTGTCCCTTCCTAAGAGTCCTGTGTGCTCCTGAGTCCTCTCTTCTGCCCCATATCTCTGAGCTTTTAGATCTGAAGATGGAAATGCAAAATATAGACTTCCTGGTGTTTGGGTATCAGTGCACTGAGCCTTTATGCTTGAATGTGATGGGGACACATGAAGGGAAGGAGGGGTGAGCGGGCTGCAGTGGTGCTCCATGAGGACAGGGGTTGCAGAGGTTGGGGCTGTGGCTGACGTGGCTTTTTTCTGCCTCTCTCCCAGGTTCTCATTCTGCTCTACATTGCTGACTGGATGGTGCACTGGATGTGGGGCAGGGACCTCGATCCTGACAACTTCTCCATCCCCTACTTGACAGCGCTGGGTGACCTGATTGGAACAGGTCTCCTTGCTCTCAGCTTTCATGTCCTCTGGCTTATTGGTGACCGGGACTCCGATGTGGGAGATTAGCTCTCCCTGCTGCCCCTCCCCTCCTCTCAGTTCTCCTCCATTCATTTTTGTCATAGTTGTTTTTCTTCCACCCTCACTCTCCTCTCCCCCCTCCCCCCCAACCCTGTCTCTCACGAGACTTCATCTTTGATACAAGATTCTCATTATTTTCAATGGGAATTTTATGTGGTTTATATTTCAAGCCAAGTTTGTACAGAAAAATAAATCTAGTTTTAGGAAGGACGCGAAAGTGTAACGAGACAATCACCAAGTGCAATTTCCTAGCAGTTGTCTGACCAGTGTTCCAGGGGAGCTGCCCATCAGTTGATGGAGCACACAGGAGGCCCACCTGTCCCAGCCACTGGAGGTGAAGGGCTGCTTTGTTCGCTTCATAAGCGTTTAAAATACTGGAGATAAGGTTCAGATTTTAGTTGCTGAGAGGGCACCTTCTAGCAAAGTACAGCCTTGTGGGTGAGGACACTGGGATCTCCTGTTTTCTCTGTCCTGTGACCCTTCTCCCTCATGTTTTCTCCCCAAATCCCTCCCTGTGCTTTGCACCCAAAGCATGCAGCTCTCTGGTCCGGAGATGATCCAGTTTTGTGCATTTAAGCTTGCTTTCAGCTGCTTTGTGTGCTGCTGATGGGCCTGTTGCAGCTGGGCAGGAGCTGCTCAGTACCTTCCCTTGCTGAGCCTGAAGCATTTCAAATTCGGGAGCCTTTTGCTACTGCTGTCTCTTAGAAGATGCCATCTGTGTTTAGCCATTGGCTTTCTCTATATGTGTAGGAGAAAGCAGGAAAACAGGTCAGCAGCACAGCCTGAGTTGTACAGCCATGCACTGTTGGTGCAGTGCTCTGTGTGGCTCTCAGCAGAGAGCCCTGCTTGCCTTGAGCTGCACATGGAGCCTGGGATTGGTGACAGCCCAGCATGCCAGCAGAGGCTGAGCACTTATTTCTCTCCTGCTTTTTGTGCTGCCCAGCTGGGAGGTGAGCAGGAAGCCTTCCCTTCTTCTGCCTTTGCACCCTGGGAGGATTCTCATGCGTAGCATGAGAAAACTTGTTCTGGCTTTGTGACTGAGGCATTTGTAAATCATCTTCCTGAGTGCTGTCAGCACTCAGCGCTTTTTACTTTTCCCATTTGGGTATAAATTGATTCAGTGAGCTGAGCGCAGTTTATTTAAGCAGGTCTTATTGACTTGGAAGCTTCACTCAGCTGCATCGAGTTTAAGTGATGCACTCAAGCAGACAGCACTGTTAAACAGGCTCTGATGTAAACTGAATGCATGCGTGCATGGGAAAGAGCTTCTAACGTTGGTAGGGATGGGGATCATAGTGTCCTATGGGACCCAGTTTTGGTCTGCAGTGCCCAAAGCACAGGGAGATGCCCACAGTGCCCAGCGTGGTGCCCTGGCCCTGAAATAACACCTGAGCTCTCACAGAGCTCACACTGCAGCCCTGCTGCTGCCTGTCCTGTTTGCCTGCAGATCCAAGGCATCACTTGAGAGCTGCAGGATTTGGGGTTGCCTACAGGCTGCTGCTTTCCTTGTTTTGTCTGGATTGGCTTCAGTTCCTCCCTTAGGTTACCCTCAGCTCTTCTTGCACAAAGAGGCAGTGCTCCTCCCCTTCTTACCTTGCTGATGTGAAGCTCACCTTCCCCCTCTCCATCTCTGTGCTGTCCTTAGTTGCAATAGCTCTGACTCTCCTCCTGTTCCCCGTAGTGACTTTGGCTGCTCGCAGGTCTGATTTCAGCCACAGCTCTGTTCAAAAACACAAGGAAAACCAAAACAACAAAACAACCAACCAAACTCACACCCCAAAGCGAGAAGTCTGAGCCCGGGGACTCCTACAGCATCCTCTGCTGTCAGCTCCTATCCCTGCCTGATGCTGAGGGGTGGACGTGAGATTTCCTTCCACTAACACACATCTGCGTATGGCCGTGCCATTGCTGCTCTGTGCTGTGCTATCAGCTTTTGGTTCCCCAGGAAAGAAGTGATGCCAGAGCTGTGCTCGTGGTCTCCCATGGGTGCAGAGGTGCTGCGGGGTTAATGGAATGGGGCAGAATCTCATTTAGCATTTCAGCACATCGACAGCCAAAAGCTTTTTCCCACCACTTGCACTCGGTTGCATGGCCCACCCTACAGCTGACTGCAAATGAGAAACACCCGTTTACTCTTTTTATTAAAGGAAAAAAAAAAAAAAGAAGAAGAAAAACACAAAAAGACTGTCTTAATTATTTATAGTTACTGTAACTGGATTGACGGATGTCAACTGCTGATAAATTATATTTCGTTAAATAAAGATGACATTTATTTATGTGGACTTGGGTGCCGTTCTTTCATTGGTCTGCGTGTGTGGTTCCAAGCTGCTCCTGTTTTGCAGCAGCGATGCTCTGTGTTCAGCTTTGGGCAGCTCTTTGTGGGGGGATGGAGGGAGGGAGGAAGGAGGTGTGGGTCTCTGCTCCTGGAAACTGATGGCAGAACGCATGGGAACAACGTAAAGCTGCGCATGGTGGGGTCAGGAAGCAGGAAGGAAAGGGCTTTCCTATGGGGGGTCAGACAGCAGAGCTGTGGGATGCCCTGCACGTGTCGGTGACGCTCTCAATGATGCGCTGTAACTTCTGGCCAGCCCACAGCGGGGCTGTGAGATCTCTGGTGCCTCCCACAGCTCTCCTGCTCTGCGCCATTCCCTTCCATTCCGTTCTATTCTGTTCCATTCTGCGCTATTCTATTCCATTCTATTCTATCCTGTTCTTTTCCGTTCTGTTTCGCTTTTCTTCTATCCTATTCCGTTCTATTTGGTTCTATTCCATCCCATCCACCTCCGTTCCGTTCTCTCCGTTCTATTCCGATCCTCCCCCGCCCCGAAGCGCTCCGGAACTGCGCGATTCCGCCTGACCGTCACGTGACCGCAGCCCCGGCGGAGGGGGGGCGAAGTTTTTGGGGGGGGGGGGGGGGGAAACGATGGGGCATCGGGACCGAATGTTCAAAGTGCTGGTGGTGGGAGATGCCACGGTGGGGAAAACATCGCTGGTGCAACGCTACGCTAACGACAGCTTCAACCGGCATTACAAATCCACAGTGGGGGGTGAGCGCGGCTCGGGGGGGGGGGGGCCG